CCAAGGATTTTTGGATGTAACAGCGCTTACTGTCTATGTCTCCTATTCTATCGACATTATTGAAAGTGAAACACTAACACAGGCTTCCAGTGGCATGCAGTTGAAGACTACATACGGGTCTCGTACGAGTACTTTTCTGCATTTGATCTGCTATTCTTAAATGCTAATCTACCTTGGCCTACCTGACCACCGTATTCCCTACGCCGTTCATTATAAAGCCTAAGCCATACATTTTCATGATTGAGTATCTATAGACAGGTGGACTCAACTCTGTTTACTCTTCAAAGCGCGGTCAAGCTTCCCTGGAATTTCATACTCGCTGCAATTTCCTCGGCTTTTTCCTTGCCACACAGCAACCCCACCAGCGTCAACCCGAATTCCAACGCTGTTCCCGGGCCTACCGACGTCGCCACTTTTTCGTCCACCACTACCGTGGTGCCCTCGGGCGCGAGCTTGTCACCCATCATCTCCAGAAATTTCGGCGCGGGGTAGCAGGTGGCCTTTCCGGAGCCAAGCAGCTCGTGACTCGCGAACACGACGGCAGGGCTGGCGCAGATTGCGGCATTCAACATTGAGGCGGCCTTGCGCTCTTGCAGAAGCGTGACCTTTTAATTGATTTAAAGTGGGAGAAAGAGTAGTAGCTCGGGTCACCAGAACACTTTTGATTCATTGAGCGACCACAGCATGATCAGCATCGATAAGGACGAGCAGGAGCAAATGTGTCCGTACTTTTTGCTTTCATCGGTAACAAAAAGATTTTTCGTTTATACCAATTCTTTGCACTCCGCAAAATTCGTTGCCCCTGGCATCCCACCTGGCAAAGCGACGCAATCAAACTTCTCGGCTAGGCAATCTGTGATCAGTTTGTCACATTTTATCACCGTTCCTCGCGCGCACTGCACTTCCAGCGAGCCGGGCATCACCGAGGCAATGGTGACCTCGACACCCGCGCGGCGCAGCGGATTCCATATTGAGATAGCTTCCAGCTCCTCCGAGCCGTTCGCAAGGGGAACGAGACAGGACGGCATGATTTTTGGGTTTATCTTCAGGGTTTTTGTAGATGATGATGAAGAAAGGCAAAGCGGAAAAAATGGATGCGAGGCGAATGAAATGAAAAGGGCTCCTTGATGTGTGTTGTAATTAAGTACGCCTGAGGACCACGCTCTTTCGATAGAGCGCCGCACTAGAGACCGATAGGGGTGCGTCACGAGCGAGCGGCTAACTTTCGTTTTTCGGCGGATCGGGTCCTGAAGAATCGATCTGTGAGTAACTGAGGATCAGCACTATGACCTTATGTGACGAAAGATCCTTCTACACTGCTGTAACTTGTAACTTGTGGAGATTTTTTGACATTGCTCGTTATCGGTTTGAGTCTGTTATAGTGAATTTATTTGTGATTGACATTGGAGGAATAAGTCAGTTCTTATTTTTAAGAAAAGTCGCTGCATCTGTAGTAAATTGAAGTCTTTGAATCGTGAGCAGAATTCGAATTGTGAATAAGAGTAAGTACTTAGCTGCACGACTACTTGCTGAGAGGACAACTCAAAAACGCATTCTAGAAACGAAGAAAAACGGCAGCTAGCTGCGCGATTGCTGTGCACCCCTTTTGTTCTCATTCGTTTCGTGTGATCGTCGCAGCCGCGGGCAGCTAGACGGCTCCATTGGCGGACTGCCGCGCCTGCCGTTCTCGGTTTCGTTCGTTCTGGATCCGCATCATCTCCAGGGCTTGCTCTGTTTGCTGCCGCAGCGCGCGCATCCGCTCCATCTCCTGATCCACCTGCTGCTGCTCCGCCCTCCTCGACACGTCGTCCACGATCTTCATCGCATTTTTGTTGACGCTTTTTTTCGTCTGATGGTGATGATGTTTGCTCCCCGCTGCGTTACCCGCCTTCTCCGTCTCCCCCTCCTTCTCATTCTCCCCCTCCTTCTCCGTCTTCTCCACCAACTTCTTCTCCACGTAGACGAAGGTCGAGCCATCCGCATCCACCACATCACTCACCAGCGCGGCCTTCTGGTCCGCCTCATCCTGGGGGGGATGTTCTGGGTACCGCGCAAATTCTCATACGCACGGACGCACCAGCTCAAATGATCGTCCCCCGGCAAGGTCATCGGCAAGGCCAGCAACTGCGCAGACACATTCAGGCGCTTCCCGCAATTCGACTTACACTTACGCGGCATCTTCGTCCCTTCTCACACTGAGTCTGAGCGCTACATCGAGTTAAGAAACCTAAACAAGCGCCGAAAAGAATACTGCACTCCACTCTGAACGTTCATATGATCTCCTCTCTGTGCATACTTTGGATATCAAATAAAGGTGCAGAAGCATCTCATCTTTGTCACCGCCACTGCTGATGATCTCAAGGATTCCAATGAGGACTCAGCCGTTGCCGTTCTCTCATGTTGTAGTCGCTTGACGAACATGCACGACACGCATTCTGCCATGTGCTGGTGTCATCTGTGTATTCGCGATGTTGATCGTCCTCGCCAATGAAGACCACGTGGGTGTGGTGTAGCTTCTGCTTACTATACTTTGCTGACTATCATGCGATAGCATTAGCAATATCAATATCTAGAAAATGGCAAGAGCATCGCTCGGTTCTTTGTCTCTTCACCCTCTGGGCAGCCTGGTTACATACTCTCCCTTCGGCGGCACTTCGACCGCTGCTACGCCCTTGGCCCGCATTTGCGGCCCAAAATTCGTTTCGACGAATTCCATGGTTTCATACATCATATTCAGGCAGGGCGCCTCCTGCCACGGGCACCCGGCAAAGTGCCGGGCGTAGTCGCCCGGCTGCCACTCGTAGGCCTGCCAGTCCTAACTTGCAGGGGGGACAAACGCGTTCAGGTGGGATTGGTGCACGAAGACGACCTCTTTTGGTAACCTGTGCGATATATGGAGTTTTGGTTTTACAATGAGGTGGCTACCGAGAAATACGGATCGCGTATGCGTCGGATCGGAAAAACCGAACGAGAAACATTTCATACCTACACCCCAAGCGCAAGCCCAACAACATCTCATTACATTACCTGAAGTCGTCGGAGTAGTCCCACAAGGTCATGTTGACAATTTCCATGAAGAACATGCTCTGGTCCCACGCTGTCGTAAATGGCGACTTCGTCACTCTTGACAAATATTCCATCGACCAAGGGGTATTTTTCACCGCGAACACGCCCGTGTTTATCCCGCCGGTGTCCTCCGCAACGATGAAGTTTACCGGCGAGGATTCTTCTTGCTCTGCCGCTTCTGATTCTGATTCCGCCAGTATGGCTTCCGACGAGGCTTTTTCTAACCCTGCGATATGCATTGGAAAAGTATCGCATTCGTAGTAATCGCAATCATACATGACAAGTCTCCATCTTAAGGGAGATCCGCATTACAAATTCCATTTCTCATGTTAAGCTACTTTGTAATGCGATTCCTACTAGTACGATATTTTTGCACAGCATATGCGAAGGTTGCGAGTAGGTCCTGCACCGTGGTGTCGTAATCCGTGAAAAACGCGTCGCAGTCGATGAAGAATACCCAATCTGTCTCCGGGTGCTCGGAGAGATGCTGCATGACCGCAAGGAATTTGCTGTAGTGCGCTTCCACGTCGGGCGGGGTTAATAACGATGTGTGGAGGAAATACCCGTTTAACCCGGTGAAATCCACGTACTGCTGGTGGTTTTTCGGGCTCATCTGCGATATATGCATTGCAAAAGTATCGCACTAGTATAAACTGCAAGACAAATTTAATTTTTTTGAAGAAAAAAGTTGGAATTTGTAATGCTGATTCAGGTATGGAGTCTAGGTTTGTCATGCATAGCTGCGGTTTAATATACGAATGCGATACTTTTGCAATGCATACGGTAGCGGGGATTCCAAAACCGTGTTCGAGGTGTTGTCCGGCTTGTAGACGCAGATGCTGAGGACGTCGATTTTCAAATCTTTATTTCTCGTAGTTGTATTTCTATCTTTCCATCTCTTATACTCCCGCGGCTTCTCCATCAGGTCGCTCGTTAAAACACTCAATCCCAGCGAGTAGTCCATCTGCATCCGGGGGTGGAACCTCTGGAGTTCCTTTGGCGGTTTTTCCTTTCTCTCCCGGTATTCGCCGACCACCGACCACCAACGGGACATGGCCGAGAGCTTAAACATATGAATTGCAAAAGCATCGTAGTCGTACTAGTAAAGTATGAATTGCATTACAAATTTCCTTAGCACGAAAAGTAGAATCTGCAATGCGGATGTGCCTTACGAAAGAGACTTGTAATGCATGACTGCGATTACTACGAGTACTACGATAGTCATAGTTTTGCACGGGATAAAACATGTTCCCGATCTGCAGTAACACGCGCGCGCGGTTCCGGTGCCCGATGGCGAGAGCCAAGTCCGCGGTTTTCCTGCAATGCGCGGTCAAAAGCAGCGGGCACTCGAACGCGGAGTAGGGGTGGTCGGCGAGCAGTTCGTAGATTCCCGTCATGTAGGTCAAGAACGCAATCCCCGGCCCTTGGCCGTCCAAGTGGAGCGCTTGCATCGCTTCCACGCCCTTCATCGCCAGGGTGTGCAACGACTCGACGAATTGGGGGCGGGGGTAGGGGATGCACTCCTCCTCGAGTAGGTGGAGGACGGTGTCGGCGATGGACTCGGTTTTGGTCTTCATCGCCGGGATTAGGGTGGTGAAGAAAAGGTGGGAGGTGGAGAGGACGAATTTCAAAAGGGACAACATTTTGGTCGTGGTGTTGGAACTGGAATGTACTGCTACTGGCTTTATGTTTATCTTTTTTCAACCCTGCCAAGGACAAAGGGGTACAACTACAGAAGCAGGGCGCCGCAGCTGTGTCGGGGTTTTATCAATACAAAAGTTGCAGAACAATCAAAACTACTCGCGGAGGTAAGTATCCACTAAGCGGCTCCTATGGGGGAAGACAGAGCCACACAAGAAGGAGCTCCTACTCACTTCCATCAAAACAAAAGATCATCTCATGATCGGGTCGCGCTCTTGTGAGCAGCTTGATGTGAAGATGATCCAAAGACGGCGGAGCAAAATGCAAGCGGAAGGAGACAATCAACATAGACACGAAAAAAGAGCAGGCTGACATAATCTTTGAAGGATGAAATAGTCTAAAATCAAGATCAACTACGAAAAAAAAAACCGATGGCATGGCACGAAGCCACTAGATCGCTGATCAGTGTGTCGTGTCACGGCGATACAGATCCAGAAGCACAAAGAACAGAGGAATGATAATGAAGACAACGATCACCTCTATCACTATTCTTTTTCCCCGGACGATGATCAGACTGGGAAGGACCTTCCCGCTCCTCCGTTTTGTTGACGAGGACGGTGAGAGCAGTGCTCGCCTTTTTGAAATTATGATGCCGTACCGCTAGTACCTATGGATAGGATACTACTGCTGATGAAGTAAAAAATGTTCGTGCTCTCATCTCTGGTCGGTGGTCCGTAAGAAGTCTTCTGAGTATTCCTATTGTAAACCGCAATGAAGCTTGATGTCGATGATCAACGTGCGCAATTGTTCTTGGTCCCACCCCCTCCATCACGACCAGAGAAGTATTGTAGAATGAAAAAGGTGTAGTAAGTACCCGTTTAGGTTTCGTCCCTGTGACGCAAAAAATCCACAAGCTAGATCCAGCTGTGCACCCGAAGCAGGATCATGCCCGCGCCGAAGAGCTCCCACACCTTGAGCCACTTTCCGATGGCACGCGAGCTTTTCAGGATTTGGGAAAGAAACTGCTGAAACTCTTCGAAAGCCGTGAAACCGCAGAGCTTTTCACGAAACGTCACGTACGAAACGCCGTTGTATGAAATGCAAAAGTATCGTAAACTAGTATAAATCGCATAACAAATTCCGTCAGGATGAAAAATGGAATTTGTAATGCGGATTTAGGTTAGGAGGGAGATTTGTAATGCATGATTGCGATTACTACGAGTACGATACTTTAACTTTTGCACAGGATACGTTGCGCTTCAAACTCATCCGCAAGTCCTCCACATCAACGTCGTTGATGTCGGTGAGTGCCTGTGTTTTTCGCAGCACAGTTGCTTATCACGCTCTAGTACATCTAGATGCAGTGCCTGTCAGTGTCATGCTGCATAATTTCCATTTACAAGCGATTCGAGTTGTTCTACAAAAAACTAGAAATACTGCGTCTTCCGGCGCTGGCTCATCGGGTTTCGTTCCCATGGGCGTTTTTTGCAGGCCGGCGAGCGCGAGCAAATCGAGTATTCTCGCAGGCGCCCGGCCGGAAAAGTGCTGCACAAGCAGGGAAACATCCTCCGGAGCGACGTTCACACCGACTTTTTGGAACACCGAGAAGATCTCGGAGTGCGACAAGCGGCCGTCGTGGTCGGTGTCTGCTTCGCGCATCAGCTGAGCGATCGTCTGGGAACCGGGGAGAGGGGGAGGACCACCTGTGGAGGTTTTAGTTTTTGCGAAGCAACTGAAATCGCTTCGCGTCGGTGCTGCGCAGTAGACACGACTATCTATAGTACCAGAGCAACGTATCTTGATCTTCAATCATGCCAAGGGGTTTACAACAAATAATTTCTATTTTAGCAAACAAAGCCAATGATGATATACGTTTCCCCTCGTCCTCTGGAGAGGAGTCCGCACCACCAGAAATCGCTGCACTGCAGCCAGCCAACATCTCCACTGCTTGCGCCCGCACCCGCAACCGATACAGCAGGTTCTTCAGGTTATCGGGCAAGCCAGCGGACTTCTGAAACACGTCGGACGACAAGCGGTTGTGCACTTTGTGGAGGTTGTATGCAATACAAATTTCCTGCACACGTACAAAATGCATCACAAATTTCGTTAAGTAAAAGCAGCAACTTGTCATGCGAAGGAGGTTTGCAGGAAATGTTTGTGTTTGTCATGTGGAAGCTGCCATGTTGGTACATTATGCACGGAAAATTTCCTGTGGATAGGTTGGAGAGATTGTGGTCGATTTTCTTCAACACTGCCTCCTGCTCCTGGGCTTTCTCTTCTAGTTTTTCCAACTCTTTCCGCAGCTGTTCCTTCTTCTTCACTTCCTCTAACCTCGCTTTGAATCTCTCGTAGACCATCCGGACCTCTGCGTGTTTTTCCTGCAGTTGCTGCTCTACCCGTTTGTACTCCTGGTGTTATTTTTGGCAACATAAAGAACATTATGTTTATGGTGCGCAAACTAAAAAATGAATGGTGGAAAACAAAATTTATACGGTTTATTTCAGAATCAGATTCACGCGGGGGCTCGATGAAAACAACATAGACAAATCCATGTCGTCCTAGTACCTCCAAAAACAGCTGGTATTCGGATTCCTGCTCTGCCACTTCGTCTACGTGTTTCGCCTTTTTCCTCACCAACGCGTCCATTTCCATGTTCTTGCTCTGCAGCATGCCCTGCAACACAGCGATCTCTTGTCTTGCGATTTCCCCACCAGAGCCTTGTTTCGACGAAGAACTGGAACTGCCTCCGCCAGCACTACTCCCGCCCAAGCTCTGTTGATAAGCTTGTTGCAACCTGTGGAACTCGTTTTGGTAGCAGCTCAAGATCGCCTCGAGCTCGACAATTTTCGTGAACAGGGGCTCTTTCTTCAGTTCCGCTATTTTGCTGTCCTTTTCCCGAAGAACGTCCTCCAGCTCCTGTCTTTTTCTTTTGTAAAGCGGAATCGCGTTCGTGTTTGCTTGCGACAAGTGTTCCAGCAGATTCACCGGTACCGGGACATTGTTGCGATTCGCTTTTTATCCACTGCAAATTTGTCTGGGTCCGGGAGCTTACATTTACCTATGCATATTTTGCATTGCCGCCCGTGATGCCTGCAAGTATCGCAGCTTCTTAGATGGCTTCCTGATGCCTAATCCACATGAGAAATGCCCTCTCCGCGTAGTACAAACTGAGTCCCTGCTCTTGTTGGTCACGCAATAAAGATTTTTTTCGAAAATTCCACAGACAGCGTCACAAGTTCCAGACTTTCCCGACCCAGACATATTTACATTTGGTAATTTCGTCACCTCGAACAGGGCCTTCTCCCGTCTTTGCACCTGCCTCTCCATCTGTTTCTGCCGCGCGGCGAGCTTCATGTGTTTTTGCTTTGTGAGGTGCGTGTCCTTCTTCGCGGATTGCAGTTGCTCGGTGAGATACTTTGCTTTCCCCGCGCCGGACATCTGGCTGGGCGGCTTTTGGCTGTCGCTGTAGATGCCGAAATTCCCGAGGATACCGCCGGTGGGCCGGGCACCGAGCTGCGAAGGCCTGGAAGTTTTTGTATTTTGGAGGCGGTTTCTCTACTTCGTTCCATCCTTGAGCAAGCAGCTACACCTTTCAAATCGAATTGTCTCTATCATTAAGCAAGCACCGTGCAACTTCTTTCGTAAGAACTACACCTGGAATCCTTGGCAGCTGCCCCTGCCACGCCACCGCCAAGCTTACCTGCTCCATGTTGCACCGAGCCTCGCCCCCCAGCAACCGTGTCCCGACGGCCGGTAGCGCTCTGGGGCCGCGTGACGGTGGGTCGCGAAAATTCCACCGAGGAGCGCACCTGAGCGCTCGCAGGCCTCTCCCGCTTTTTCAAGTTCGGGAGAACGGAGGACATGATGTACAACGTAGGGGCTGGTGTGCAGCTTTCTTTTGTGATAGATGATGCCGCGCTCGCAGTCGCAAAGAACAACACGCGATAACGAAATGGGGAAAGTAAAGTTTTGATCGCTCAGTACTCTCCTTCGCTGCCACCTCTGGAGGCATCCACAACTTCTCTCTGTCCCTAACTCAAAAATTTTCGTGAGGAGTCTTAACAACACCCAACACCTGTTCCTCTCGAGAAACAGAAGGGGACCACGACGGAGAAAAGACGCGTCCTCGCGGTATTGAAAAGATTGAACAGGAACTCCGTTTCGCACGAGCGCCGGCAGATGCTGAAAAACCAACTTGAAGAAGATCGAGACAAGAGTTTTTCGCTGTCAGTTTGCAGGTCCTTGTTTCAAAAATTCCGTCTACAAAAATCTAGTGCAGCCGTCACACCGGTAACGGCGGAGTAAATTTGTATTCCCTTGATGAAGAAATTGCAAGTGTTTTTAGTCGCAGACGATAAAAAGTTATGTCTTATTTCCTAGATTCTCCACAATGAATCAATAGGGTCGCCTTTGCAAAATTTGAAGTTTAATGGTCAAGGTCCTCGTCAGGAGAGGTTGTTCAGACGAAAAAGCTGCCGATAAAAAACGGCCGCAGCTCGCTGCCCCAGGACCCAACTTAGTTCTTCTGCAACATCAGTGCGCTCTGGTTTTCCAATTTGGTCGTCCCGAGCGCGTCGTCAGATTTCTCGATCATGAACTTCGGAAAGCTGCTGGCCAGGGTGTAGCTGCCAATCGTCGCTTCGTCGCCCGCTTCGAGGAGCTTTCCGTCCACAAAGTCGTAGAGGTGGTGCACTTTGTGCTTGGACTTGGAAAAAACGTACTCCACGCGCTTCCCGCTTGGCATATGCATTGCAAAAGCATCTTATTTGTACCAATCGCAATCACGCATTACAGATCTACTTTCTTACCTAATTCTGCATGAGAAGTTCCAACTTTCTTCTTGACGCAATTTGTCACGCGATTCATACTAGCGCGATACATTTGCAATGCATATGGCAATCGGAAGACCAATTTCAGCTTCTCCGGGTCGTCGTTTGCAATTTGGCCGATGGCCTCCAGCGCGGCGACGCGATCTTTCACGCTGGTTTGCCTGTCAGAGGGGGATGGAAAGAGTTTGTAGTGAAACTTAATTATGTTTGTGAAATATGATGCATTGCATGGCATCAAGTATGCCTATGCCATCACATGAAAATAAATCATGCTCATGCAGCAATGATTGATGTGAGAAGCAGTTACATAATATCATGTATCTAGTACTTTTGTTGCTCGGCCGCAACCTTCCGCGCTTCCTCCTCTTCTGCCGATTTTCGCAGAGCTTCCGCTTCTTCCCGCTCTGCCTTTTCTCGTTGCTCGCGCATGCGGTCCATCAACATACTTTCCTGCAGCTCCGCATCTTGTTGCCTGAAGGAGTTGATGCATGATGTGGCGACGAGTGATTTGTTTTTGATCAATGATTTGCCGACAAAAGAACAGGTACGCTCAACATCGTCCATGCAAAAGTCACGATCCATCTACTAGTACTACTGCCTAGCCTTTCAAGAAAAAAAAACTTCAGTACGCTCGCAAATCTCTGCTTGCCATCAAGGCTGGGTCCGAGGCGGCCATGGCTCGCCGCATTTGCTCTTCTTCGCTCAATCTCAAATGTAAAAATGTCATGGTCTGGTGGAAGAGTCATACTGTTTCTGCATGACACAGAAGGTCTGGCATGGAAGCTCGAGCATCACAGGCTTCGAGAAGCTTCCGCAATGCCGAACCCGCATGACAAATCCCCCATTTTGGTGACAGAAAGTGGGCAGCTTTTGCTACCTATGCATGAGAGATTTTTGTGTGTTCTAAAATGCGCATCACAAGTTATTCTTCCAGACCCAGACATATTTGCATTTGATACTCAAGTTCACCTGTCCGCCCTGCATGGACTCCGCCAGCGCCCGCGCCATCGCGGCTATCCTGAGTAAAAACGTCCCCACACCATAGTCAAGATGGTGATTTTGCTATACAAATCAACAAGTTTTGGCTGTTTCGCATGACAAGTCTAGACTCGTAGTGTAGTGCTGTTTGAGGTAGTGCAGCCGCATGACAAATCGACTACATTATCCTGATTCCAGCATCACAAACTTCCAGATAGCATGAGAAAATCAATCGGGTGCTCGCTTCTTTAGGCGAGCGAGTAACTGTTTGAACGTACTATCTATGCTCCTGCTTGTAAATAGCTGGTGAATAGTAAATAGCATGAGAAAATCAAAATGTCTCTCATGGGGATCCGCATGAGAAGCATTTCGAGCATGCGTTTTTGCATCACAACTATGGGGTGGGGACGTTTTTACTTAGGATAGCGGCGTCTGCCTCTTCTTGCTGCCGCCGCCGATCGTCGAGGAACGCGGCTCCGCCAGACGACGACGTAGCACCAGCATTCGTTCCCGCGCCCGCATCAGCCCCCGGAGGGAAAAAATCCCCACTCCCGCCCGTTTGGACTGAAGACGCGCTGCTTCCGCCGCCAGTGCCCCCATAGGCACCTCCAGAAGCGTTCGTGGAGGGGGTTGCGCCGCTGCGGCCGCCGTAGGGACCAGTTGTTGCGCCGGCGGGCAGGTGGTTGGGGTTCGCGGAGGCGGCAAACATGTCGTTTTTGGGAGCGGAGCTCCTCGAAGCAGCTGCTGGTGGCGCAGAAGGAAGTCCTGTTGGTGCAACGCCGTCGGCTTGATTCACAATGTTGTTCAGAAAACTGGCCTGCGCGGACTCGGCGAGGACGCGCTGCAACTCCGCATCGTCTTCGGGGTTTGTCATGTTCTGGTCCATCATGCCGGCGGCTCCCGGATCGATATCAAATGCAAATATGTCGGGGTCTGGAAATTTGTGATGCCAAAGTGTGCATGATGGAAGCACTTTCTTATGCAGGAAAGCATGACAAGTTTGCAGAACGCTTTCCCGTATGAACTCCGCATGAGAAACTTCGTTCTTGTACGATAAGAGAGCGCGTCGACTTTTGTTGGTCATGCAAGACAGATTTCACAGGAATATAAAGCCAGCATTACAAGTTCCAACTTTCCAGACCCAGACATTTTTGCAATGCATAACCGATCAGCTGGTCAAACTGACCCGCGGGTCTCATCGGGTCGTCGTCGGGGGATATGGGGCCTGTGATCATTTTGACTGTTGTCACAACTGCGAGTTGTGCATCATCAAATCGATTATGACATGTAGGCAACTTGTTCTGCGATTACTTACCTACAACGAAAACGTTGTGCCCGCACTTGCATTCGTCTTCTTCTTCACCATCGAAATGAATAAGGGGGAGTGCTAGAAGATGAAAAATTACAGTTACTCCGATGCCGAAGGACTAAGAACATCATTATAGAATATCAGTACCAAAAGCTGCCGGTGCCCGCATATTCTCGGCGCCGCCAAATGCCGGCGCTGCGGGCGGCATCGCGGGAGACGGTCCGCCCGCGCCGCCACCGAACAGCATGTCCACCGCCCGCTGCACATCGTAATTGGTGGATTCCAGAATTTGCGACGCCACATCGGGATCCACCTTGTCATCGGTCATGCCTAGTAATTGCATGAGCGCATTGTCCTTGTCTTCCTGCGACACGGCGGCCATATTGTCTGTCAATGATCCAGCAGCTGCACCAACAGAAGAGGTCGTGGGATCAACCAGCACACCACGGCCGTTATTGGCGGCGGCAAGAAAAGGCAGCTGTTGGTGCGGTGGGGTGTAGGCTCTCCTGGCCGCAGCGAAAAAGGAGGTATAATTGGTGTTGATGTTGAAAATAGAATTCAAGTCGGCTAACAAAAAACCACAACTCCAGCACAACAGTTTCACGCTGTTATGAATGAAATATTGGGCAGTAATTCTAGTTCTACTCTTGCACCGCTCCATGGTGGCAGAACAATGATGCGATTATCGCAAAGGCTTAATATGCGAATTTTCTCAATTTTTTTTGTAATATGCAGGAAAAGTAATTTTATGCGAGTAAGTTATTATTTGCAGCTCGTCCAGCACCTCACGCTATGATTTGAGTCTTTCGTACTATGATCTGATCAACAAGACATAAGTAGAATGCAGTTTAGTGGATTTCCGGTTCCAATTTATTTCCTGGTAAAAAACCAAATTTTGTTTTTGTCACGGCAGGACAGAGGACTGAAGGGTGGAAGTGCAACTCTTGAAAAAGTGCACAAGAATAAACCAGCACCAGTAGCAAGTGAGACACGATGCTCACAAAAAAAATTACGAAGAAATCCAGGGCGTTGCAAACGGCGAAAAACTACGTACCTTTCTACTAGTATCTATAGCAGTAACAGTTTGTGCGGCAAGAACGGCGCTGCGCGAGAATTACAATATAGAATTGCGGTGGAAAACGACCGGATGACACCAAGGGGTAAAAGTGTGTCCGGCTAAAACAGCATAGTCAAACACCGTCGGGTAATGCGCTTGCCACGTCAGATGCCATCTTTCTAATACCGTTGATCATCTAAACGCCCACCCACGGAAGAGAGATGAGGGCGCATTCGGTGGAAACATTCGCGAATAAGTAAGCGGCGGCACCAGCACCCACACATCATTGATCCTGCACCTGCATTCCTTGTTTTGGGAAGCTCAAGAGTTTTCTCTGGAAGGTGAACAAGAACACGAGACCTTTCTTACAGGAATAGTACCAGGGGGATCGGTCCAGGTTCACCTCTCGATGGATGCTGCTGCGACGACACCCGCGAGCGCTGACAGGAAAGCCGATTCTATTGTGCTGCACCTTCAAATTGAAAGCTTCCTCTCATGTCGGAGTTTTCTATGACAAGAATGACATGCGATTGGTCCTTGTTTCGGGTTCCGAAACCGAGCGCAAAGGTAATTCGTAATTTGAGCAAAATGTTTTGGTCGCAAGTGAGCTGCGTAGCTATAGTACTATCATGGATCGCTCAGCCGAAGCTGGATGTCGTTTCAATTTTAATGATATCGCAAGTTGTGAACGTGAAGTGTCGCTTTGTTTCTGATTGATTAAGAGAAGTATCTTGGAGCCTATGACAGGTTTTTACTAGCACTAATTACAAGATATTTTTGCCTTGATACAAGGAAATCGAAATCTACATAAGAAGCGCAAGTAGTTCTCTACTTTTTGCAAGTGCATGTGCATCAAACTATGCGCAACATAGAAGAAGAATCACATTGACCATACCGGCAGCGCTGCAGCAACATGCACAGGCATTTATAGGCATTTGTGTCGTAATAATGAAGCGGGACGACTGCAACTGGGACAAATACAAAAACATATCATGCACCGGCTTGATATTTTTCTTGCTTCTGTCCCGATTTTTTGTGTCCCGCCTATTATACACGTATAATATACTGGCTGAGACCACAAATACTGGTTGAATACTCGCGTCTCAGTGGCAAAAAGACGACTGCCATGATCGTTGTTGATGTACACACTGCAGCTGCTAAACACGCAGTTCTTGTTGAAGTACTTGAGTTTGTAGTACATACCAACTCTACCGATAATTTCTCTCATCAATTTTGTTGTACATAAAAATTAGCAGTACATTGAAAAAAATCTTCAGCACATACATTTCGTCCACAGAACCATCATCTTCAACGCCACCTGTACCGGCTAGGCCGCTGCGCTACACGAAGAAGAGGCGCTGGACGAGGAGGATGTAGCACCATTAGTTCCGCTCCCCCCGGCAGCTCCGGCTCCTGGCTGCTCCTGTTGACTGCGACACGACCCGGTCGTGGAAACGCCCTCGGCGTCAGACCCGTCTTCTTTCGTCGTTGTCGTGTTTGCGCCGGAAGTAGCGTCGCCACATGTTGTACTATTGTTCTCCGCCGACCGTTTCACCACGTTCGCGAGGAGCTGCTGGAAGATCGGGGGCATCGCAGCTAAAGCCTGGGTGGGGGAGGCGGTACTACAACTAGAGGTGTTGGCTGCGTTAATGTCTACAGTTTGTGGGGTAGAAGAATTCTTATTTTCCGGTTGCTGGCGGTCTACAACTCCGTTTAACGTCAACGGCGGGACTTTCATCGGCGGGGATAAACCACGCAGCGGACCAGGCCCAGTTGTTGTAGAAGCTTTTATTTCTTGCCCACCGCCAGCCTCCTCTGCGTCTTCGTTTCCCCCTTCGCTGATCCTGGTGCTCGCTAAAATCTGGGTCAGCCCGCTGCTGTTACAACGACCGAGGGCCTGCTCTCCTGGGGGATTCATTTTGTCGATTACTGCTCCACTGCTTCCGCCATCGCCAGCCGCTTGCGGAGTTGCGTTTCTATTTTCCTTTTCTGACGGACTCGTCGTAACTACACCTCCTGCGAGAACATCAACTTTTGGCGTTGTACTGCTGTTGTTTTTCTCTACTTCAGCGGCAAGTTTAAAATTCAGCATTTTCTGGTGCATTTTTTCTTGCTCTCGGTAGTCTTCCAAAATGCTCTTCCGCTGGTAGAATAAAACGTAGGCCCCGGTGTTTTGGTTCAAAACTTGCTCCTCCGAGTGCTCGGTCACCCAGGAGTCGTTGAATTCAAACCACTTGTCGCTGTGTTTCGCGAAAGCCACGTAGTGACCCCCGTCCGCGACGCCGATGTGTTTCACAACACCCGTAAGCTCGTACGTGTAGTCGACACTGCTCTCACTGTCGATCACAAGGTCGTTTAAATCCATCCGGGCCGGGTAGTCTACCGGTGTGTCGATGCGCTCCCGGCACCATCTGAGTGATATCATTTGTGGTGCGGGAATTTCGGCTCCTGTCATACGAAACTCAACATGGAAAGCTTAAAGCAAGTAAGTACTTACTCATATTAAGAGTCTAGCTGCTACACGTCCACCATCTTGAAGGAGAAGCAAAAAGCTCCTTAGTTATAGTTACCTGTTAAACTGAAAGCGCTTCAAGTGCACGACGAAGACCGGCGGCAGGCGGTAAAAATCCAGTTTCTTGTACCCCGCCACCCGCTCGTCGCAGCGCGGGCAGCGCCAGAAGTCGTCTTCGCCCAGTTGCTCTTCCTCGGTGTAGAGGTCGAGGAGTTGGTGGAGCCGCAGGTTCCCGTCGAGTTTGCGCTTCTTTTCCGAACTGATCTGCCGGGGGGAGGGCAGTTGTCCAAGCTTGTTCCAGAAAAACTCAGCGATCTCGACACGCATGTACTTTTTACCTGATAATACGTTGGATGTAGTTCTTGAGACAATCAAGATGTAGTTGCACTGGAAGTGATTCACTTTTTAATGTTATCCTCGCTGGAATAATTAAAGTCTGTGCCGACCACGCGCTTTCAAATCATGCAACCGAACGAATCAATCTCCCGTTGTCCGCGGCTGTGCCTGTAGCAGCAGCGCTGCTGCTTCAACTAAAAAAATGTAATGAAACAGCCAGAGCCCCTCAACCATCTTTCCTACCTGGATTCTCCGTTTCCGCAAAAACGCGCTGATCGTTGATCTTGCCATTATCCTCTCTAAACTCGAAAATTTCCTTGCTCCCGTCGTTTTGACGTTGGAAGTTCCGCGCCAAAAAACTTCCGATCCTGGACGGCTTCGCAGCCGACGTCGCTTTGAACAGTTTGAAGGGGGGAAGCTGAAAGTTGGCGGGAAGTTGTGAGGATGTGCTAGTAGAACGAGATGAGGAAGACGAAGATGTGGAAAACCCGACACCTCCCGTCCCCGTTTCGTTCTGTTGCATGAAGTGTTCGGTCGCTTTTTGCCTGGCCAATTGGAAAAAGTCCCCGCAGGTGATATCTGCGGGCGCGGAAAAAATCAACGGTGGGATTTTGGTTTGGTTCTCCAGGATGAGTACGATGCCGTTTTGCACCCTTGAAGATGCCGGTTCTTGTTCCACGAACGTGGAAGGTCCGAGATAAAATTGTTCTTTGTCGTTCGGAGAGTCGGTTTTCATTTTCACGTCTTCTTGGGCAGGATTTATTTGAGGAATTTGGTTCATCGATAAAGCAGTAGAATTCTGATCTGGCATCTCCACGTTGTCGGAGGTGGGACTACTTGATGCTGTCATTTTTCCAGATTCTTTACTGGCTGCTTGTTTCTTAGCAGCGTCGTCGTCGTCCTCATCACTGTCAAAGTCGCTCCATTTGGCCATTTCTGCGCGCAGTGTCTTCACGACTACCGGGGGCCCGGCTGGTGCTGCTGGTTGTACTAGTTGTCCACCACCGGGGGGGAGCTGCGGGCCGATGGCCGACGCTTGTTCTCCTGCTGCCGGTTGTTCCGCCGCTCCGCCAGCAGCTGCTGACGAGCTACCACCATTTGTAGTAGTTCCGGCACTGTTTAATATTCCCATTTCCTGCTGTTTTGGTGGGGTCAGCGGACTACTCCCGCCGAGTAGCACCGGGCTGTGCAACACGTCTTCGGAAAAATGGGTTTTGTCCAAGACTTCGTAGATGTACAGGACATCCGTGCTGCCGATGCTGTCCACGCAATCCCGGGGCTCGTAGTACTTTTTCGGCCTGCCGTTGTCCACCTCGACCACCAGTAAATTTTTCTCCAAGGACCAATGCTCCGCGATGTTTGGGTGGGTTTCCTTGATTTTCTTGACCAGGTCCGCAACGGAGCCCTGCTTCTCGATGTCAACGGTAATTTGGAGCAGGTTGGGGGATATTGGCGCGACCGGGGGTTGGGATGATGAAGGACAAGAAGGAACACCAGCTGTGTTAATATTCGCGTCATGGTTCGACGTACTATTTTCCAAAGGGATTAGGTCCGGCAGGGGCTCCGGGGATGCCCACAAGTCATTGCAGCTATAGCCACCCGGCGGGGGCAAAGCCGTGTAGGGACTCGGTTCTTGCTGTTGTTGTTGAAACAACTGGTCTTCGGGGAGCAGTGGGGGCATTGGGTCGAACAGGTCATTCGGATCTCGCATCGCGGGGAACGGCTCGCTGGTGGGCGCGACCAGCTCCCAATGGTCGTCCAGTGGAGGATGTTGTCCTCCTGCTGAAGAGGAGACACCAATGTCACCCGAATCGAGTGGAAGGTCCGGGAAGTCCTCAAGGCCGTCATCTTCTTGCGGTGCTCCGTTATTTCTTACACTTTTTCCCCGGGAGCTCGAGGAAGTAGATCCTCCGCCAGTTGTGCAACTACTAGAGCTACTACTTTCCACCTTCCGCCTTACAACATTCACTGTGAAAGTGACGAAAGACGTTTTGTCCCGCGCCACCATCTGCAAACTCGTCGCCAACACGTTGGAAAACGTCACGGACACCTTGTCGCACTTCGGGCACCGCACTTTGGACCGCTCCACCCCGAACAGCATCTCGTCGAGGAAGCTGTTACACCTCCGGCGGTTGATGTCTAAGGTCGCGTCCAAAATTTCCTGCTCCGGCCGGACGTCGTCGTCGGGGAACTCGGCATAGGGTTTCTTGCCTCGCACGGTGGACGTGTCCTCCTTCAAGCTGTCCACAATCGCCTCGAGGAACTCCATGGCGTCGTGCTGGCCGAAACCGCTATGGAAGCGTCAGGATTGAAATCGTCAAAGTTGAAGCAGATAGCAAGCCTGTTGAGGGGTAGACATAGAGCTGCTAAAGCAGCATGACAAAAGGCGTCTCTCTTACCCAAACAGCATTACAGACTGGATTTCGGTTCGACCCAAATCTGTCATGCGCCAAATAGAAACTGGGCTCCAACTGGCATCCGTTTTATGCATCGCAAATTATTTCAACTTTGACGATTTCAATTCTGACACTACCATAACCGCAGAACTGGTCGTTCACTCGTCCGACTTCCGCTTTGAAACCCTTGGGGGCGACCTGTTTTTTTTTTTTATTTGCACATATAACTAACAAGTTGCAGTTCTTGTATAGCATCACAAAGCTTCGAATTCGAAAGTTAAAGCAAAGCGATTGTCCTTAAAAGGAAGTACCTTGACATTCTCCGCTTGGTTCATTAGTTGCAACAAGCCTGCGAAGCAGGTCGCGGTCTTGCCCTCGCTCTTCCACGCGGTTTCGTTCAGTTGGTTTTTGAACAGCCCCTGCACAAAGTAGTCCCGCAGCAGCGGCAGCGCGGCGAGGCACTGCAGGGAGGAATTCATGTAGCACGTGTTCCCCAAATTTGCCAGCCCCACGGCGCCGACCGGCTGCCCCGGTTTTTTTTCTCCCTGGGTCGCTTGGTCTTCTCGCTGGGCGTTCCAAAAACTGGAATTGTTGTTGCCAGTTGTAGTATTGTTCCAGTTGTGGAAACCCCCGTAGGTAGAGCTGCTAGAAGACGAAGTGTTGTTGTTGTTGATTCCGAAGCCCATAGAACCAGAAGTGTTGTAAGTATTTGTATTGTTCGAGCAAGAACTCGACGCAGCATTCATGCCGTTGAAAAAGCTTTGTCCCGCGTTCATCTGCTGTGAGCTGTCTGCCGCCGGCGGAAACTCCCCGGCCTCGTCCGCCTCCTCCACAAGTACCGGATTGTTGTCGTAAATGGTCAGTTGCTGCAGCGATTTGTGCCACCCGAAATTCTTTGTTGATTGTTCTTTCGAGTTGTTTTTGTTGGCGTCCCCTACCTGATTGTTCTGTACAACCGAGTTGTTGTTCATTTTGTCCGGCTTCGTCAGGCAATCCTTCGTTTTGTTTTTCGAAAAGTAGTCGATCAACTTTAGCTGCCGCTTGCGCAACAGATTTTGTTGATCAAAAGGTGAGGCCGTTCTTGTTCCCAATCCTGCACCAGAAGTGGCTCCTGCTTGCGTTGTATTCGTTGCGTCTGATGTAGCGGGACGAGCAGCAGGACCTGCTGAGATAGACGCAGATCCCTGCTGCTTTTGGTCCTCGCGTAGCTCTTGGCCATAACTACAATCTTGTGCTGGCACAACAACTCCTGCTGCAGGTGGTGCCATCTCCATCTCGTTCAAACTGTCAACGCATCCGCCGTGGTTTGCGGGTAACAGCGTGATTTTCAGCGCAGGAGGACCACTCGGAGGTGCAGCACCAGCAGCAGCAGAGTCAGGTTTTACTACTCCCTCCTGCTGTTGTTCCTCTTCCAGCGGCTGGAGCAAAGCGGAGCATGAAGATTGAGGCTCCGACTCGGTGTCGTCTGGGCGTCTTGGGAGCATCTGGGGACCCACCATGGGGGATGGGGTTTGGAGCATGTTCACATTGATTTGTTGCGACGAGGTCGTTTCTACTGCAGAGGTGGACTGCTCTACTCCGCCTATCTGAGCGTCGTGTCCTTCTCCTTGCAGGTCAACAGCGCTAGCACAAGAAGTACCTCCCGCCGGAGCAGCTCCTGCTGCAACCACAGCGAGATGACCACCGCCCTGTAGCTCCGTGCTGGTCGCAACAGCTGCACTCACGATCGGCAGTTCCGGTGGATTGTTCATCTGCGCACCGGTACTATTATCGTCCGCAGAAGTCGATGATAACTGCACCGGGAGTTGCAGACTCGGTTCTGCTGCTGGCTCGATGCCCTCACTGACTGTCGGAAGCGGTTGCTTGTTGTTACCGTGGTCGTTGTTCACTTTGTTGTCTAGTTCTTCATCTACTTCCATCTTGACAGAAGAATTTTCGTTCGACGGTGTTGCAGCGAGGGTACTAGTTATCTGTTCCTCAACCCCCACCTCCCCTGTTTCGTCCACAACTTCCACGCCGATGATTTTGCCCAGCCGTCGTTTGACCGCCTCCGCGGACGCGAGCCGGGATTCCAGGTAGAAAAAGTCGGGGATGTTGGACTGCGGCTTCCAGTTATCCTCCCGGGTTTCGTTCTTGTTGAATTTAACATGGTACACCGGCAGACTGTACCCGTGCAGCTCCAGCTCCGGGTGATTGGGGTTATTCTTGGTTACTGTTCCAGACGCAAACCGGTTGGTCATCCCGATTGTTCCCCTCGGAGATGAATTATGCACGATCGGCGGCGGCGGATCGTTACCGAATAGGGACTGCGACACCGCAGCCTGGCCGTAGTTCAACATCCCATGTGCTGGCGGCGGCATTCCGAAGTTCGGCTGCGGCATTACTGCCGTTGCCGTAGTTTCGTCCGCATGATTCGGTCCTGTAACTAAACCGTCCATCGCAGACGCAGTCGGCTTTTGAACTTCTTCCGCCTTCTTAGCATCAGCTGCAGCTTCTTCTTTTTCACTCTTCGCAACGGAGGACACATCCTCTGTCCTCAACACCACCTGGTTCTCTTGCAGTAACACGTGCACATTTTGGTCGTGACTGGTGCTGGGTATCGCCCGTCGGCGAATGCAGTAGTCGAAGTCGTAAAGTTCCGCGAACTTCTTCCAGACTTTTTCGTGCACCACTTCGAACTCCTTTTCCTTTAGGTCTTTTTTCAGCGGGTACAACGCGCACCGGTCGTGGTTGTCGTAGCATCCCGGCTTTTTCTTGTTCTGCAGATTGCTGAGCAATTCGGTTTCCGACCGGGGGAGTGGGGCGATAATTGTTGTACTGCCGTTTATCGGGTTTCCATTTTTATCCACATCATCAACCAGATTTATGCCAGCACCAGTGGCGGGAGCAGGAGAAACTACCTTCTGAGGCGGCGTTGTCTGCTGCTGCTGCTGCATCGCGGCACTGCGAGATGAAGAAGAAGAGGAAGAACTTGTTTCCTGCGGAGATGATGATGATGAGGAGCTCGTGGTACAACTAGTTCCTGGCCCAACAACCAATGCAGATGAAACCCCAAGCGGTACACCTCGCTGCGCCGACAACTCGTCTGCGAATTCCGTGTCGCCGGCCTTGGCGAGAATACCGGGTGGCGAAGTCGACTGCTCGTTCATGTCGGTGTCATACAGTGCCGGGAGTTCGCGCGGCGGGGAAGGCGTGCAACCGCCCATGTGCACATCGTTATCACAAGAACTACCGCTCGTGTTCACCATCATGTGCTTTCGGTCCATCACCGGAGTTTTGTCATGGTCTTGGTTTCTGCTTTGCGCATCATCTCCTGCCGCGGGGGTTGGTGGAGTCGCGCAGGTGTAATAGTTGGCGACGTTGGTTTCTTGTTGGTCTTTCATCGCGCAATTACCATCTACTTCACCAGGCCGATGATTATCCTCTCTGGGTGTTGATTTTCCCGATCTGGTTTGCGTAGCGGGGACCTCAATAAAGTGGCAATTTGCAACACCCGCGAGCTCAGGACTAATGAATCGCAATGGATCACGTGAGCGACACGGAGGCTGTTGATTTTGATGATCATGGCGCGGAGAAGCCGACATATCCATGTGGTCGCGGTCCAGTTGCGATGCCTCAAGAACACCGTTCGCATTTATTTTACCAGTTGCAGCTTGAGCACCTCGACCTCCGCAGCTGCCATCTCCAATTTCCAGCGGTATGTCCAGGAGCTCGCAGTTTGCGACAGGCCCCGGGCGATCTTTGGTCCAGACACGTGGGGAGGCGCAGGAGGACGCATCCATTGCGTTGGGGTCCGCTGTCTCCCGCTTCGGAGACTGGGCCGCCAGGTCGCTTACCTGTTTTTTGTTAATATCGTAGGTTGTTTTGATGTATACTATAGGTATTAGCAATAAATTGGTGTCAGCAATGGATAAAAATTGTTTGAAGATCTGCTGTGCCATCGCATGATGCAAACGATTTGAGTTGAATTATTTCAGCTCGAAACACGACTGCAGATGAAATAAAACCACAGTACCACGGGGAAAGAATAAGAATTGAAACCGCGCAAAACTATATTTATCAAGAAGTCACTGATTTTTCTCTACTAGTAAATACCCATTGCTGCCAGTCCTTGAACCACTTGGTCGACACCAGGTAGTAGTACTCTCCAACTTTCATGGGCAGCGGTTTCTCCGCCGTGCCCGGCTCGTGCGTTATCCGCAGCTCGTGAATCATCTGTCTTTCCAAATCCCGCTGCGTCGCACACGTCAAGCTACTCGCGCGGGCCCGGCGGAAATTGTCGTCGTGGGGGGTCGTGTCCAGAGGATGTTGATTACCGGTAGAAGTAGTCGCAATAAAACTGCCAGGAGGGACGACCGAGATGACCGGAGGTGCCGTACCAGTTGAATAAGACCCGGGCATTGCTGGCCCTTTTTCCTCCTGCACGCTGATTTCAAATTCCACGTCGTCATCCTCTCCCGGTGAAGTTATCCCGGTGTCGGGACGATGCAGCTGGAGGTGATCGTGATCATCATCACCATCCTCCTCGCCAAACAACGCACTAATGCTATCATCCTGCGGAGTGCGCTGGAGCTGGACGGAAAGGGAATTATTAACCGAAGCTTGGTTGCCATGACACAACGCCGGACGTCGAAGAAGAGCTGCACCAGCATGGCCACCTATCCCAAGTAAGAACGTCCCCACCCCATAGTTGTCATGCAGATTCGCAATGACAAGCAAACTTGTGATGCGCATCCCCATGAAAGGCATTTGCAGTCGTGTTTTGAAATTTGTGATGCTGTAAACAGGATGAGCAGCTGGGTTTCTAATGCGGGTGACCTCGCTAACCTGCACTACACTACAACAGACGGCAACTTGTCATGCACTACAGCCAAAACTTCTGGATTTGTGTTGCGAGATCCCCATCTTGACTCTGGGGTGGGGACGTTTTTGCTCAGGATACCACCTTCTCGATCTCTACTTCCACCCGCCGCTACCGCAGCGTTGTTCTCCGCAGCAGTTAATACCGCTGCTCCACCGTCCTCCTCCGAAGTGCGTCTGCTTTTCGCCGTCTTGAAGGTCGCATCGCTCTCCGCATTAGACACGCCACAAGAAGCCGAAGCCGAACCACTTGGATGATTTTCATGATTTGGAGCTCCCCCTCCTGCGATTGTCAAGTCGATACTGCGGTCGCTCTTCGGCGCGAGCAGGGAATTGATACTACTTTCGGCAACTACGCCTCCTGTTGCAGGTGACGCTGCTGCTCCAGCTCCCAGAGGACGTCCTCCAGGTCCATCTTCCACTTCTAACCCCGGTGGTAGACTCGGAACTACGCCGAGCGGCGACGACAGTCCTGCTGAGTTGAGGAGTTTAGAACTACTACTGGGAGGACGAGCAGGTGGTCCACCGCGGGAGGCACCGCCCACATGATCGCTGTCCTTAGAACAACTTGTTCCGAGGGGGGCTCCGTGCAGTTTATTGTCCTGCGGCGGTGAGGGAGTACCCGAAGCAATGTCCGCGACCACAGTGTTGCTCAGGCCAACGTCGTTTACCATCGTGTCCGATCTGTTTACGATTAAAAAAATCTTTATCGAGTCGTTGTCGTCTCCTGCTGCAGTAGATCGGTCCTCAACATGTGTAGTCACTTTTTCTTTACTATATTAATATCATCTGGCTCATCCTGAAGATTTTTCGGCGTGCAGCCGCAGTGTTGGGGTTTTTGATTTTTTACTTAGTATGTATGCTTTTATCTGAATCTGGTTGCACATAAACGCAGTCCGGAAAAATGAGAATCGTGGTTGCTTGTCCACGACTTGTCGTGGCTGTCTTAATTTCTCATCGTGTGGCCGCCCAGGTACTGATGTACTCAAATGTAGTTGACTGTGTTATTCTTATGTAGTGCTAGTGCTGCAGCTGCGCATCAAATACTTAAACAATGGGAACTTGACTACATCAAAAAAATCCCGCGCTGCTGTAGTTCCGCCTGCAGCGAACTGCTGTCGATCGCCGCATTTGGAACTAGAAGTAGAACTACTACGCCTTGCTAAACGAACCTTCTAAAAACCTGGACGGTTTCTGCTTCAGTTTCACAATGATGTCGTCGCTGCTTCAATGGGGTGTCACGGAAGATAAACAACATTGATTTGTAGTCCTTCAGAGCAGCAGGAGGAACAAATGAAATCACCTCTTTTGAAGACGCAAGTTCACCTAGTACCCCGCGCTGATCACAACCAATGCAGATATGAGAAGTTTTTAATTTTCCTTTCGTGATTTTTTGAGAATTTTCTCTATCACCTCTAAGGAAGATCGCCTCGCTCAACATCCATTTGGAATTGGACAACATCTCCCCCAGCGGCGCGCACAGAAATGATTTTTTCAAGAGCTTCATTATGATGCATTCAAGATGTTGATCCTGTTCCTGACGGGGGTCTGGTATGATTATTTGAATGTCAAATTATAACCCCGGCAAAAATTTGAGCTGAACAAGATAGAACATGTGCCTCCTGAACGCTACTCATAGGAAGAACCTAAAAAGATCTTCACCGCAGTGCGCGCTTTCTTGTGCTGGGATTTATTTCTTTTTACTTTTTTCACTTTTTTTTTTGCAACTTTTCTTCGTTTTTTTTTTTTTCGCTTTTTTCGTATTTTGTACGTAGTCAAGAAAGTGCTGGTTGTGATGCGACCATTGCACCATTGGTCTGTCTCTGCGATCATCGACAGGTGGAGGCAAAGTCTTTCGTCCCGGGAGGTCTCGAAATTATGTCGAAAAAGACCGACCTACTGCACGAGAGGCAAAGTATATGAGCTGCACCAGAAAGCGCCGATGCCGAATGGAAGGACGACGATGACTTCTCACCGCAATGAATTAACTACATTTTGAATTTTGTTCGCAGAAAGTGGCAAAATTTTACGAAAAATATTGAACCTGGTTCCTGACCGTATGCTGAGACGAGGACCATAGTTGTATGGGGGGAAAAATAAATACAGCCCTCGCACATAATATCATGTCGCTGTCGCTCGCAGTTATGCTTTTCTGGACAGGAACTTCGGTTCCTATACCTAAAGCATTGTCAGAATAACAATAAATTTGTAGTCCCTATGACTCTTTAAACGTAAAACTAGCAGCTGTTGACAAAGCAACTACAGGCTGTTGCTCTTGCTTGTCCACGTCCTTCACAGCCGGGCACTGGAATAATAATACTATATGCTTTACCAGTACTCGCGTTTAGTAAGTTCCACCTACCCGCGGCAACATCAAAGGGCGGTGAAGAACGAAGAAAAAATACTTATACCCGATTATTAAAACGATTTTCAGATTTCTGAGACGAGGAGCATGATTCAGATTCAGAAAATAAAAAGCTAGAGAAGTACAAAACGAGAGAGCAGGTAAAAAACTGGCAGGACCAGGGGCTCGTGTGTTGAACTACAAGTTGATGCCGCGCAGTCGAGGTGGGGTCGTGGGGACGAGTCGCCGCAAAGAAAGCAATGGCGATTTTCATGTTGGGTCCACCGTATAAATTACGAACTCTAGAAGCGCGAAAAAAGGAAGATATAGATAATCTGCCGTGGGGAATTAGATAAAAAAAATCACGAGTTGTCAAATAAAAGGCTGCTGAGCTGCGTGTGGTCAGTAGAAATGATATTAACGGTTTTCTTACTTCCGGAGCAGTGGCATCTAAACAGAAGTTGTGGAAAACATAAATCGTTCGTCACTTCCCAACATCAAACCAGCGGCTCGCCTATTTATTTCACGCCGCCGGGGCAGCGGCCGTTGAGGTTGTGTTGTTACTCGCGCTCCAAGTGAGATTCCCTTTCGGCCCGCCCTTGTTATAGGTTGGCGCTGCTTTCTTTCCCTTTCCCCACGTTGACTTCGCGGGAGCCCCCCACGACTTTGCAGACTGCCACGGCGGTGCCGTCCAGGCGGGTTTGCTGGGCTTTTTGCCCTTCCCCGGATTCATTGTTACAGTGCTAGGACCTTCGACGAAATACTCCGGACCACCCAGTTGCTTGGCGGACAGCGTGACCTGTTGTTTGGAAAATCATTGTTATGCACCAGCAGCTTGCTCTGGTAGTTTTTATTTTCATACAAAAATACTTATGTCTAGAATTCCATCGTGCATAACATGACTCACGGTGGTACACACTGCGGCTGTTTGAATTTTCGCTCCTAGATTCACCATACCATCGTGTGTAACGTTCGACTGCAAGGTATGGAGCCAACTCTTCCTCCTGAAGAGAAGACTCGATGCTGCACGCTGGTCAAATCCTAAACTGTAAAGCGAAATCCGCGAAAATTCAAAATTTTATTTTTATCGTGCTGTAATGAAATAATGAGCGTGGAGAAATAGCAAAATTCACTTCCTGTTGGCTACCAGATCAACCAGCGTCGACACTGTTTCGCTTGACTACCTAAACCGCGAAATTTTAAAATTTTATTTTTATCCTAATGCGGAATCCGCGAAATTCTAAAATTTTATTTTTATCGTAATTGAAAATCAACAGAAGCAGCGACGATACATCCTGTTGCCCATCAACCCGAGTCGCGAAGCTATACTTTCTATTTCCACACACGGAATTTCAAAATTTTATTTTTATGCAAAAGCAAAATCCGCGAAATTTCAAAATTTTACTTTTATCTCACTGCAAAGAAGCTTTATAAAGCTTGAGCTTTCACGATCCCGCGTAGTACGAATTGAACCTGATGAGCTCTCCGACCCGAGCAGAAGCCTCGGATGACCTAGGTGTGAAACTGCTCGTAATTCCATCGTGCAAAAGATTATGCCCGAGGGTATGGTGTAGAGAGCTTCCAGTCAACTGCCCAGCAACTCGTGCTCCTCGCGATACCGAGCGCTCTTCTAGATAAGAACTGAACCTCCACTCCCATGATCAAGGAATAAAGAATGATCGAAATTCTGGTCACAGCACCTCCTACATTCGAAAACAGAAACACTATCACTATCTATTAAACAACATTCGTAATCGTACCCATCCGATGGCCTCGGGATAGTTCTTTGCCGCTGGGTGTGTGATTGGCATGCGGGTGACGAAGCCTCGCGTCTGCCCTTGGATCTCCACTTGCACCTCAGGACCGGTCTGCTCCACTATCTCCCCTTCCCGAAGCTTCTTGGTTTCCTTCGATTGCAGCTCTTTCGTTTCCCGCACGATTATATCCTCCCGGCTGGCTTTCCACTTCTTGAGGCGCCATTTGCCACCTGTGTGTTTTTATACGGGGTCCCTCGGGAATAAAAACAGGATGGAAAGTTGAGGCCTATCGGCATGAGATACGCAAATTCATCTCATGCAAGACTCGGACTCATATTCGAGTTCGCCGTGTAGCAGGCCCTTGCTCGTGGCAAATAAAAGATAGAACTACTACTGCTCATCTTCTACTTCTCTCACAAAATCCAGTATTATACCTTTCCCGTAGCCCTTTCCGTGCCCACTGCTACTACTTGTGGTTGTGGGAATGATTGTTGGCTCTACGTAGCCGAGACTGCCCGGTGCTATGCCCGGCTGAGCAGAAATCATGCGCGGCGCGGCTGCAGCGGAGACTGCGTATTGCACTTGCTCCGGCGCCATCACCACTTGACCAGGGGCGATCGGCATGTAAGTGCCTGATATTTTTTTTTCGGGGGAATGGTGATAAGGTTCGAAGAGTGCGACGCTCTTTCAAGGTGAAGCGCGACAGGAACAAATCATGAGCCAGTTTCTCATGCTGCAGGCGAAAGGCGAAGCAATATTTTGGATGAAGTTCTTTTACTTTTTCCCTATCTCTACTTTAACAGAAATTCAAATTTTAGAATTAATACCGTTCCCTAAATGCATCACATGTGTTTGCGGTGGTGCTGGTGGGCTTTCTACCGGTTGCTGCAGTATTGGCTGCACTATTGCCTCCTCTATCCGGTTTGTGGTTGACTTCTTTTCCTTCTTCGCCTTTTTTTCCTTCTTGTCCTTATTTCGCTTCTCCTTTGCAGGTTTCTCGCGCTTGCCCGCGTTGTCCTGTTAGATCAACAAGAAAAAAACATCTTCACTTCATCCAGTTCCTCGTGCAAGCATCTACGACGCATCATGGCAAAAAAGAAAAAAATCTGCTGCGTAACAAGAAATGCCATGGCCAATGCCATCATGAAAAAGAGCAGCACAAATAATAGTACCTGCTTTTTTGTTTTCTTTTCCTTCTTCGAAACGTGCTCTGCTGGTGGCGGCGCATCCTGACCTGAGTCTTCGTCCGCTGGCCTGAACCGCTTAGTCACGGTGGTGCCGTTAGCTGTTGAAAATGTTGAAACGTTAAACGATATAAAACGCAATAAATATTGGCACAAGAACCGTCGAGCGGCCTGCCTGGCTGAGGTTACGATCTTCGTAAGCAGGTGTCAAACTGAGGAGTGAAAATTATGGTCTTGATCGATATCGTTGTCCTGCATAGCAAAGCAAAAATCAAAATGTCGCTATAAACCTTTATACCTTGCCCGCTCCGATTGTTCCCGACGCCTTGGTCAGATATGTCGCTCACTTTGTCCGATGCTACCTGCCTGTCTTCCGAGTCGGAACGGCGTCGCTTCAGCTGAATCTGTAATGCAATTTTTCAATAAATAGAAATACCCTCACAAGTAAGTCTGTGACGCTAGGGCATGCAGCACAGACAGCATGGGTCATGCAAAACGCGCCTGACAGACGACGAAACACAAACAACTTAATTATACCGCTGGCTTTTCCACAGCTCGCTCCCTAGACCTTGACCTGGAGTGACTTGGTCTGCTTTTGCCTCCCCCAGCTCGCTTGGGCTCTCGGTCCCCGACTTTGGACTGTTTGTTCACCTGATAGTGATATGGAGATCGACGACGTGGTTGATTTGATTTTACTTCATGCAGATCTCCGTGCAAAAGGAACAAAAACAAACAGCGAGCACGACTGTGAACAATTTGTCACCGCCACGACCAGGCCGACGTCGTACTTACAGATACAGCGTTATTGCAAAAATAAAAGAGAAAATGAAAATGGAAATGCATTTAGATGCATTTGCATCCCCAAAAAACGATAACAAAAAATAAAAAGTATCATACCCCGCCTATTGCGTCCTTAAACAAATTTCCGCCGGCGGCGCTGAACAGAGCGTTCGTGGGCTGCACGGGTTTTCCCTGCGTCAGGCTTACTTGCTGCGGTTCGTCCTCCTGAAGCTTCATTTCTTCCCCTATCTGCTGCATGTCGCGTATTATCTGACGACCCCTGTAGTTTATGATATTTTGCGAGTTTTGGTCGTTTTCCAGCGAATTTTTGTATTTCGTCTGTCACTGTCATGGCTTGTTGTACTGGTACTACATCCGCTTCTACATTACAAAAAATTTTTGCACTGAGACATTCACATTGCAACAGAGCAAAACCGCTCTGGTGATGTGTTGATGTTGCTATATGCTATGCAAAATCATCCCACAAACCACGCAGCTCTGTTTTATAGAATAAATTCATACCAGTCCAGAATTTCTCGCGCTGCGTCCTCGTTTCCGATGATGCTGGCAAACCCAGACACCAATTTGTCGGAAATTTCATCGTCCCCGTTTATTTGCAAAGCTTCGTTTTCCTTCCGGTTTCGGATGAACTTTTTTATTTTCGCCAGCTTCTCCGTGGTTTCGCTTCGCTCCTTTTCCAATTCTTGAAATAGAATCTCTTCTTCCTCCGGCATCCTGTGCAAAAGTATCGTACTCGTATTGGTATTGAAGTCATGCATTACAAATCTGTTTCTTAAGGTAAATCAGCATTGCAAAGTTTATTTCTCATGCTGAGGAAATTTGTAATGCATTTATACGAGTACGATACTTTTGCAATTCATATCCGGAGCCAGGTCGCCGAAGATCGTCCAAATGGACGACTCATCGTCGCCGGGTGCGAAGGCGGCCATCGTGATTTTTTGCTGGGCCGAGTCGGGGGTGAAGTAAGAGGTGCTGTTTCAAGAGAAGAGATTGATTGTACAACTAGCCGCCCGCACTATCACAGAAACCGCCAGGAGCGCGAGGCGCTGATCGACTGGAGGTCCTGACGAGGGCGTGCTATTGCTCGACAGCGTCGCTTGTCCGCCGAGTCTCAGTTTGCTGAACTGAGAAATTCCAGGTTCTGTTGGTCTGAAATTAGCTGTTGTGCACTTTCAGTTTTCGGCTTAGCAGGTCGACACTAGATGAGGACATGACTCTTCACTTCTTCATCGACGGAATATAATTCGTCTAAATTTGTTCGTATAGGTGTTGCTAGTAAGGCGCAGCTTTTCTAAAGGAATTGTAAACCAGGATCGAGTTGGACAATAGGACAATGATCCTGTAGCATAACGCGAAGTAATGAAAATCGGGCGCTAATATTAAAGGGGGAATGTGCGGCGCAGAAAAGCATTCTACTCGTTTATTCAGTGATTAACGCTTTTTGTATAAGTAGTTTGGCCGCAGTGCATCTGGCTTTCAGGTCTAGAAAAGAGTCAGTTTGATATCTTACTATGCGTCGCGACGACCTGTGTAGGACAACATCAAGAATGAATGGGAAACAAAAATGAGTTTGTGCAAAAATTCTGTGAAAAACGGCACGAATTATTCGGATAAAAAGGGCTTCGTGCCGGTCTTGTTTTCTTTGTTTTGTGGATCGATCTCGATGTACTAAACGCGGGAACTTGATGATGCGTCTTGTGAACCATGAAAGAACTTGAGCAAAAAGACGAGCCATAGTACTACCAACATGTGAAGGATAAGGATCCCAAAATGCGTCGTGTCAAGGTACTACATAGATGAGCTAGAGCTTGCTCGCGAGGAACAACAATGGATGACTTCGCGCATGGCAGGATGCAGTCTTGAATGCGCGGCGTTTGTCGAGAGCTTGCACATTTTTTTATTTTGGAGGACGAAATTAGTACTACTTAGCTTTTGTAGTTTTCCAACAATTTTTGTACATGATAATTTTTGAAACCCGACGAAACGGAATAAAAACAACGGCTTTATTCTAGTGTACACAGTGCGTATTGCATTGAAACAGAAAGAGATGAAATTGAAATCGCATCGGCGACAAAAAGGTATACAAGGTTAAGGATTTTTCATAAGCGATCCTCCCATTCCACTCCCATTTGATGATGCCATCAGGTGGTATACAAGATAGAAACGAAATTTGCGTAAGTAAGATAAAGAAAAATGGATTGTATTTGTACAAGGTTAGATTTTGCAAAAGTTTAGTTTTGATATTTGTCATAGATACGTCTGATCCTGATCGCAGTTTTGATGTTTACGTTGATTCTATTTCATCTATTCAGAACTTTCTAGGAAATTTTGTTGACAATATTGAAAAATGTAAAAGGAGACCTGATCTCTGTGCAAATGTAGTTACTAAAAGCGACACTGGTCGTTCGTGACAAATTGTATTCGTATTCGTATCATAGAAAGAAAGATCGTCTTGCTTGTGTGTGAAAATTTGAACGAGAGACATAGTGGTAGACGTCCACTCGGTACTTCTACCCGCTCGCCCTGCAGCGACGTCTACTTCTTATTCTTACCGGGAGACCGCGTCGCCGTCGCCTGTGCGAGCGCTGGCAGCTTGATGTCTGTTGATGTGTGATAGTAATTCTTTTCTGTTCTCATCTATTTTACGATGCATAACATCACTATAAATGCAAAAGCAAAGCCGTAGCCGCCTTTTTTTAGTTACTGCTATTTTTACTTCGGCCACGATAGTACCACATTTTGAATTGCTACGGAGTCAATGACTGTCGTCATCTTATTTGTTTGGGCCAAAAAAAAGTACATCCGGAGAGCTGGTGGTCGTAGTTTGGGTTCGCCCTTCTGGGCTTCCTCCTCCGCCCGTACTGCTCCAAGACCGAGTTCTCCTCGTCGTCATCCCCACCACCTCGATGAGGGTTTCCACCGTGATTTGTTGCCAGCGTTGCAGTGCTGGTGGTGCTCTGTTTGTAAAAATTTTCATGCGATGGAAACATCACAATATTAATTAAGTTCATCTTATGCGTGCTTCTATTCCACTACACAATTTGCTACAGATCGAATCAACACGATCAACAAGCAGCTCAACACAAGATGAACCCTGCTCAAAAATGATAGCTGCAGTTGTACCATTATCGACGCTCCCCCTGCCAGTGGATCGTAACTAGTGCTGCTGTCTCCATCATGTGGCCCGCCGTCTTGGTCGCCCATGGTCTTTCCTGGTGGCCTATCAAATGCAAATACTTGTCTGGGTCTGGAATAAACTTGTAATGCTGTCGTGTGGCGAATCAATCTGAATCTTCACGCGGACACACACCTCCATTGACAGCTGAGCATGGCAAATTTTTGAGGAGCTGCTAAGTAGCCTAAGTGTTGTCTGTCTTGCTCTTGCAGAACAAACTGCATCAGAAATAACCTTGCATTCTCGCAGACCGACCACCCAGGACGACAAATTATATTTGCATTTCTATTTGATATGGCCCTTTGCGCATGAGAATTCGGTAGTTCCAGCAGTCCACGAGTCCTTGGCCCATGCCCTTGAGACTGCCGATGTCAAAGCCGTGTTTTCGTGCGTAGTGTGCCACATCGCGGTTCTTCAAATCCTTTACTGCCAGAAGCTCCTTTCCCCCGTACCGCAACAGTAACTTGCACATGTCGAGATCTGATGTGATATAATTTACTTATTTGTTTTTCACGTGTTGGTGTTCGCAACACTGGGTGGAGGTAGGGTTGCCCACGCATCATTCTGACATCAAACACGTATCAATGAGCAAACAAAACTTCATCCCTCCAATGGTAAAAATCATAATTATCAATGACTCTACTTATTGCTCTTACCTGCTCGATTCGCGGCGTACAGAATGCAGGTCTTCGTTACTCCTCCGCCCCATTCGGAGAACAGCAAATCTCTCCCTGCCTTCTGCAAGGTATGAACTGCAAAAGTATCGTACTCGTATAAATGCATTACAAATTTCTATTTCCTCAGCATGAGAAATAAATAGAAAATTTGTAATGCGGATGTACCTTAAAAAAAAGATTTGTAACGCATGATTGCAATACGACTACGATGCTTTTGCACAGGATACAATGCGTTGTAGACCCAATCGTGATCGCCCTTGATTTATCGAATGCAAAAATGTCTGGGTCTGGAAAGTTGGAACTTGTGATGCCAGCTTTGCTGGGGCATTTGTCATGCGGAATAGGCATCAAGAAGCACTCAGAAAATCTGTGATGCTAGGGAACACATCACAGACGTCACGGGTCATGTAAAATCTGCATGACAAGGTGCAGTCTTCCAGACCCAGACATTTTTGCTATCCATATGATTACCCGCCGAACGAGTTCCTGCTCCAAGTCCCCGGGCTTCAGTCCTGGTGTTGGCTTTTTCTTCATGCCAAACCTGTTGGTGTCGATGCGGGCCTCAGCCTCGATTTTTGGCAAATTGTACTTCTCCGCCAACCTCTGTTCCCGGTTCAAACTCGACTCGCTGGCCTTCCGCCCCTGGGAGTGTCTTCGGAGGTGTTTCACCGTTTCCTGCCCAATAATTGCGTGTTTCTGCATCGCCCGCTGGATTTTCTTGAACGCCTCTGCACCGGTCGTGTCGCGCGCATGTTGGGCAGCATTTCCTGTACTGGTTTTGTTCGTTGAAGAATTATCCTGGTTGATTGGTGGAAGCCTGTTATCAACACCGAAGCCACTACCCGCGGTGCTGCGGTGCTGGCGCCGGAGGTCCGGCGGAGGGGTCGAGATCGACCGATTCGGCTGCGAATTCACCATTTTTGATTTGCTTTTTAGCGCTAGAATCGTTTCTTGCGTTTCTTGCTCTTTATGCGAATCAAACACTTGAGATTCTCCGATTACTTTTCAATAGTGACAAATAATATTTCCTTCTTCCCTATTTTCTGTGCGGCAAGGCCATAAGTACCAATGAACCTACGTCCCTTTCGCGAAAAAAAAAAACACGTCTGTTCCCTAAGAAGTTGTTGAGACAAAGTGATGTTAGCATTTGCTTAGACGACGATACTGGCTGCATACTTGTGGTCAGAGGTCACGTCAAAGTCAGGCGACGCAATGTTGTAGCGCGTACATAATATCATGCCGACCACAGCTACGAGTACGAAAGTAGATTTCGAATTCCACGACGAATGACCAGTAATATTACGAACGACCCAGACTGAGACCTACGCCAAAAATTATTAAAATGCATCTTCAAGCTCAAGCTCTCTCGTCATTCTACTTCACATCTGGCGCTACAACGACCGCTTCTCTTTCTACATCTGGCGACGAGCAGCCAGCGCTTCTCGAGGTCCGGTGGGGGGGTCGAGATCGGCCGGTTGGGTTGCGAGTCAAGTGTTCTCACGTGGCCCGGCCAGAGCGACACGGTGCGATTATTGCAAAAAGGTCAAGAGTAGGACGAACACTTTTTACTTGAGTTGTCAGGGGGATAGCCTTTTCTTTTCATTTTTCTTTGGTCGCTTTGAGCAATTTCAACACGGATTGATCATGAACAAGCGATCGCAAGAAAGGACTAATGCTTGTTGTCTGCAATGGGCTTAGCACCGATGGCAAAGAGATCCTCGATACCCGCCCATGGCAGTGGCGGCTTTCCATGTTCGGCAACGAATTCGGCATCACTCTCCATTTCTTCAAGTTCCGCGCGCCACCGCTGCGGGATGCCGAGTTCTTGGAATACTTTATTTCGTGGCCCATTCTTGACGGAGAGTTCATGGCGAAGTATATGGAGGCGGTCGTTTAAGGCCGTGAAGTCATAGACAACGACGTCTAGTATTCTTGTAGTTCTTTCAGAAGTTGTTCGTTCATCTGGTTCGCCAGCATCACTAGCTTCGCCGTCACGTGCTGGACTGCGAATGCGCTCCTCAAAAGCAGGGGGTCGTTCTTCCACAGGTACTGGAGGTGGTCCAGTCGAGGCGGTCTCTGTATGGCTTTGGGCCTCTTTCTTGGCCTCGCCCTTTTTCCGAGACAGCACGAAAGCGTCCGCCACGACACAGGGGGCTGCACCAACTTCCAAACCAAGTGCGTCCGGACGGACGAGCAGGGGCCATACCATCTTCTGTACAATGTATTGAATGTTGTAGAGAATGGTGTCAACAACACTGTGAGTGCGGTCAAGCATCTCCTGTGTGCGTTTGCGATACGCCTTTTCGGGATCGGATGGAGGACCTTCGTTTTCGCCCCAGTAATCCGTCCACAAAAATTCGTTTACCCAGTTGAGAGTGGCCTGCGCACAATGATGAGCTATCGCCTCGGGTCCAAATGCCCTATCGCTGTGCTCTAGAGCCTTGCAGAATTGCTGTATTTCCTGGCTGCTTTCTATGCGAGCTTCATCACCAGACCGGTACAGCAAATTTCGCACCACCGCGCGGATCCCTCGTCGCAGCGCCTGTTCATTCACGGCATCTTCCGGCCAACCCGGCAGCACAGCAGCAGCAGCTACCTGTTCCGCCGCTTCGCAAGGAGTCATGTTCGAGATGCTGATGACTTTGTCGGCGAGCGCATCAAGGAGCTTGCTCTCTTGCGGTGGATCACTTTCGAGGCTCGTGTCAATCTCTTCTTGTGTTGAGGTCGCCCAGTACGTGATGCCCTGGATGTAAAAAAATCGAATCCGTATTTCGGTCGCGAACTGTGCTCTCTGGGACCACACAAACCACCTGTCCACGCCAGGCTTCGAAGTGGTCGAGGTTGAAGATGATCTCGCATGCTTCGCCCACTCTGGTTCTGGCAATTCAAAAACTGCGATGAGAAGGGTCAAAGGGACCCGACCCGGTTCGTCCGCTGGTTGGTACCTGTCAGGGCATGGAAAGCCGGGAGTCTTGCGCCTTTCGCACTGATACTGATATTCTTCCAACCCACAGGGGAGCCAAAAGAGATGACCGTGATATCCGTAAAGCCTCTCCTTATCTTCGGTAAATCGGGCGTAGTGGTGCTGGGCGTGCGTAATGATTTCGTTCCATCCTTGATCGTATAAGAAACTACGTGCCTGCTCCATCGTAAACTGTCCGAGAATGCGCGCCACTCGGCTTTTCCATTCACACCAGTCTTCTTCATCCTGAGCTTGAGGTGATTTGTTTTCGTCCAGTCCTGGTCGTGAAGTCGCTCTTGGAGCAAAGATGTCCGAATCAATTTCTTCAGGCCCGGTGATGACGAACTGAAAAGAGGGAACCCGGTCAAGAACCACCCTGCTTGGTACAGTTGTTGTTGAAAACGCCGGCTCGTCGTCCACGCTCCCGTAGTCGATGAGCGCCTGAGGGTCGAGAAACTCCTGCGGGTGTTGTTCCTGTTGCTCAACATCTGCCGTCTTGTAATGCGAACACTCCTCGACTACGTCATCATGGCTTAGGCTTTGTTCCGGCTTACAATCACCGTCCGCAAGGGATGCGTCGTCAACATTCACCGCAAAAGCGTCAGCACTCGCACTGCAACACGATCCCGGGAGGACGTCCTCGCCAGCACCGACGTGTGCATCGTGTCGTCCGTTCTCGTCGTCCCCCTCCTCGTCGTCCACAACCTCCAGCCATGCCAGCCGGTGCAGTGGGGGCAGCAACTGGTCCTCATCGAAAAAGTCGGAAATCAGGTCGTAAGACGACAAGTCGCCAACAGTCACCACCTTTGTTGGATCGACAAGCTTCTCGATCGGTTTTCCAGTGATGTTGCAAATTCGAATTTTCCGTAAGCAGCACGGGGGCGACGTCCCACCAGCTGCGGGCGTCGGGGTCATTGTCAGTGCTGAACTAGTAGAAGGAGATGAGCTGCTTGCAGCTTGCAAGCAGGAGCTGGACGTCGCTTGAGTTGTTCGTAGCTGCGAGCCGCATTTCCTGGTAGCATCAAGAGCTGCAGGGCCAGCATCTGGGCTCGGCGCAATCATGGTCATATTGCACTGAGCAAGTGCTTCTTCCGAGGGGGGCGAAAGGAACATGACATAAATGTTGTTGACAAAATCAAAATGAAAAAATGGAATCAAAAGCACGTTTCTGGACTTTCTAGTTGAGCCACTATCAGTTGGAAATGCTTCCTTGTTGTCCTCTCCTGGATGCCTCGGAAAGAGATTTGGATTTCCATGAACCCGTTCAGAAAATCAATGATGCCGCAAGAAACAAGTGCCAGGAAATACAAAATCCGATTATATTATTCATGAGATGAAGACATGAACATAAATGAAGATATCCCTGCAATTTATGGCGACAAGGACAAAAGCCAAAATTGAACCATCGATGCATCGTTTTCAACAAAACAAAAAATGCTGCGCAGTTTTAGGCTGTAGCACGCTTCCTCCAGCAGGAACCTCGGTACGATTGTTCACTGTGTAGCTGTAGACGACAAAAAAGAACAAGTAAAAGCGCTGATTGTTATTCTTCTGTTATTCTTCTTCCTGATGTTGTTGACTGTCATCTGCGCGTATACAACAATAAAGAGATCCATGGAACAGCAGACGCAGATCCTAAGTTGGACAATGACGGTTTGTTTCGGTTCCATCCAAGAACAATACCTGGCTCAGGGCACTGTGGCTGCGCCCATAATTGTGCTGCAGTCACGAAAACAAATCTGAGTCGTGTATGCATGTTCATCGTCGTGCTTTTTGCTGCAATACTGATTTCATTTTTCATGATTTCCATCACGGGAATTCCGTTTCAGTTTCAGATTCAGTCACCTCGCACTCAGCGGTCGTGTAATACGCGACACAATGACATCAATGACAACAAGCAGAATCGAGCAAAATCATGAAAATCTTGTTTAGCATAGTTGTTCTCCGGGTTGGAAGATATCATCAATTGTCCACTGGAGGAGCGCAAAGAAAAATAAACGTTGGATGACGAAGACGAGCAGCTATCGCTATTCACTATATGGATTCTCTGTTTCACTTTCAGGGTCAGTATACTGCATACTGATCTCCTTTCTTTATGCATTCACATGGATCGCATACTTCTTGCTTTTTGTGTACAAATATGGGCTGGCACAACTGAGCCAGGGTATGGATATGGCTGCTCTTTATTCACACTGTCAAGCGACGGCAAAAGGAAATGAGGTTTTAATACGGTCCCTACGAATGTTTTTGTATTCTGTTGAAGTTGATAATAATGTAAAACTATACAATTATTGATAAAAATGCTGAGAAGTAAAAATGAGAAATGTGGATTTCTTAACGTTCGTTGTGGTAGATATTAGTCTCGAAAGCGAAACAATCAAGGAGTCCTTGGAGGGCTCGAGCAGGACAATGAATGTGCTGGTTGAGATTGTAAATGTCGACAACCATAAATAGATCTTTGTCGCATTTAACTAGAATTGACGTCCATCTTCCGCTTTCCATTTCCATCCCCCCCAGCACCGGCGCGAGCGCCGCACCGCCTCAACCGTATCAGTATGGGCGTTCGCTTGATATTCACATCTCCATGAATATTGGCAATATCTGTAGCATGTTGCATGCGTCGACGGTTTTGATTCAAAGTGGTCCTCTGCCTCTTCTTCGATGTCCGCATCAGGCCAAATGAAGAAAGCAGCCTTTCGCAGCGGCTTGTCGCTGATGGCCCAAAAATGCTCCATGTCCTTCCAAGGGAGAGGAGGTGCAGTCGGGCCAATCAGTCCTAATTGTTGATACCATTCCTGCTTCCAGTGATCGCATTCTGTTTCCCAGGTCAAACGTTCTAGCAATTGCCTCCATCGCTGCGGAATTCCAAGATCGTGCAGGATTTTGTTTCGCGGCCCGTGAATACACTGGTACGCCAAATCGTCCAAGCGCTGAAGGACTGGCGAAAAGTCATAGATGTAATTTTGTGCGCCAGCTGCAGTGGCTTTTACTGCGTCCGGTGGTGCTACCTCTCGTGCATCATCCCCGTCGCCAAGACTCTCAACCTCTGTCTCTGTCCCGTCACCATCAGGTGGGGTATATTCTTCAAAAGTTAAACTCGGTCGTCGATGTAGCAGATGGGGAGGCCAATACGCGTCAAAAAAGTAAAAGCCTTCGGCGATGTTATCGTATCCCGGAATCATAGAGCCGAGAATGTCCCATTCCTGCGAGATTGAGTTGTCGAAAGAAGCGGCCGCGGCTTTGCTGCGATCGATGAGCAGCTGTGGCATGATGAGATGTTTGATGAGACGCTTCATGTCCAACAACCTTAAGAGAACCACTGTGTGTAAATCCCGGACGCAGCGGCGGGTGTTGGTCCGATAGTGCGTGAACGGCTCGAGGCAAAGCGGATTCCACAGTTCCTCTTCTTCCCCATATCCCCATGGCCAGTTATGCTCCTCCAGCCACATATCCGTGTAGGGCCAGATGGGTCCCTTCAGGAACGAAATGGCGGCCTCTCTGCACTTGTCAGCGATCCCTTTGGGACCAAAGTCGATCTCGCTTAACGCCTGGCAGAACTCTGTAATCGCAGCTGGTGTGCTGCAGCTGCCGATCTGATCGTCTCCACGACGGAAAAGCTGAACCGTGGCACGGACCGCATAGCGCAGCACTCGGAGATTAACAAGTGGAAGACCCCTAGAGCGGCGCCGGCGCATCACCATGTCTGCAATGTTTTTTGCGGCCACGCCAGGTGTAGGCTCACCGTGCTTCGACACCGCAAGACATTTCTCGCAAAGAGTGTCAAGAAGTCGGATGCCCTCGGTCGGTTGCTGCCTACAATCGGAATAACATTCCTCCCCATCTAGGAAGTAGAGAAACCCATCCGCGCGAAAAAAGATGCTGCGCAGGGATGAGACATACTTCCTCTTCTCCGACAAAGCAAAGAGGCTTCCTTGCGAAAGCTTTTCGTGAAGAGCCCACTCCGCCTCTGACAGCTCCATGATTGCCATAACCAGCGTCACGGGCACCTCAGAAAACACATCATACCTGAAGTGCGCCCCATGCCCACCACGAGGCTGGTGCTCCTTTAGCCCCCATGGCAGCCACGCTTTGATGCGAGAGTGCAGAAATTCAATACCTTCGGAGTCGGACGAATCTTCGGCGAGCACTCGCCAGTTTTGCTCATAGAGGAAGGTGCGTGCCTCCTGTAGGGACAATTTGAGAAGTATTCGTTCCACACGGTAATGCCAGGCCGCAATCCTCCGCGCATTTATGTAATCCTGATCGTCCTCGTCCTGAGGAGCTTCATCAACTTCGCCAAGAAGTCGTTGCTCGACGTCTGCACGAGCAGCACCAGCATTTGCGCCCACCGGACTGTTCTCAAACTTAAAGAGTTCAGCGGCGTCGAATTCTGGGCTAGTCACGACAAACTGAAAGGACGGTGGAGCCGAAAGGGAGTAATCGACTTCAGTCTCCGTGGGGAGAAACGCTCCTTCCGGGTGGGAATTACAATTACTCTGGATTGAGGAGCACGTCGATTGGAGTGCGTCGCCGTGTTCCTCGAAGTCGCCACTACCTTCGGAAGTGCTTCTATCGACCTCGTGTTCTTCCAGCTGGATTTCGCCGAGATCAACATCTTCGACGCCCTCGTCAAACTTTAGCCACGCCAGACGATGCACCGGTGGAAGTAGCTGGTCCTCACCAAAAGCGCTACGGATGATATCGTGGCTCGATAGATCGCCTACCGTGCACACTTTCGTCGGATCGACGAAGACGTCGACAGGATTTCCGCCAATATTGCGAATACGGATGAGCCGCAAGGCATTTCTTTGCTGCTCAACAGGATTTATTGCGCAGGAATCGGCACCGGACCTCGTGGCTAAGATATTTTTCAATGTGGTCTCAGTAGAATTGGATGCGAGGTCGCAGTTGGTTGGTGGAGCAACGCTTGAGTCCAATGCGGATGAGGACACCGAAATCGACATTTTTACTTTTCGGGAGTGCTAAATCAAAATTCCCCGGTCAAACGAAAAAAGTTGTAAAATCTTCAAGCAAAGAAGTAATGCTTTGGTCTCCAGCAGATGTTTCAGTTTCTTGTCCCAATGAAGTTATCACAGATTACACCAACAAAATCCAACAAAGTTGAAATTATCAGGAAGATCTAGCGAGCACAGAAGAAAGAGAAAAGATTGATACAAGTACATCAACGCAAGACCATCTACTATACATGTACCGGGCGACACTTCGCTGTATAATCAAAATATCGAAGAATTTGAATTATTCGAGTGGCCGACTAGCACCGACGACGAGTAGATGAACGATCAAAATTACTTCTATTTGATCGACATACTGTTCGTACGGAAAAATCCCGGTCCTTCGGATCATCTTTTCTTTGTGAAGATGTGAAACAGAGTGGTGCTACTCCTGATGATGATCATGATGCTCCTCTATCTTGCTGTGGTACGAGCAACGTGAATGTGCATATTATGCGAAACTTCTCTACACGATTTCGTACGACCTCCTTGCCGCAGCGAACATGTGAGAGCGGTAATGGTGAACTGTGCCCTGGCCTTTACTCTTCGGTGCACCGGGTCACACACGTGCAGAAAGTACCTTTGACCCCTCTCAGTCCAATCACAACTTATGTATGCTATCCTAATCGTACTTTTCTGATGTTATCCTGATTCACTGTCATCTTAGCAACAGGGAGCGTTTTACTTCTTTTTCTTCTTCACTGCGACATTCTTCGCTTTCCCCCCACCTGCTCTTTGTTTCTGCGCGGCTTCCTTTTTCGACACCTTTTTCTTCGTACTGTTGAGCTCCTTCTTGTTTCCGTTCTTGCCCTCGTTCTTTGCGGAGTCTGAAGACTTAGCGCACTTTTTACCCTTGGTACCTCCACCTGCGCCTGCAGTGCTCAAAGGTGTTTGCTTCATCGACGTCTTCTTGTTCGATTTTTTCCCTGCGGCGACAGACTTGTTGGATACTTTTGCTGCCCTAGCGGAAATTTTCTTCATTCCGGACGCCGACTTTTTCATACTACCCGGCGACTTTTTCTTCAACGCACTTCTAGCTGCCTTCTTCACGACCGCAGAAGACGAACAAGACGTGTCTTTTTTATTTTTACTGCTGCTCTTCTTCTTGTTCTTGGTGCTTTCAGTTCCTCGAGGTGCGGCAGCAGCAGCCTTTTCCTTTTTCTCAACTTTCTCTTTCATTGCGGTGGCCTTGGCCATTGCTACCGCTTTGGTTTTCTTCTTCACTGCGGCAGTTTTGCCTTTCGGTTTTTCCCGATTTTGTTTTTGCTTCTCCATCGTTACTGCAAAGGGCCCCGCCTCCGCAGCGGAAGATTTCTTCATGGCACAAGGCTGCTTTGCCTTTCCCGCTATTTTCATTCTCGTAGTCTGCATCTTCTTCATTTGGGCCGGCTCCGGAAGCTGCTGGGGGATTATATTGAGTAACTCGTCCGAAAAACTGCCAATGCCGTCGAGATTATCCTGTAATTTGAATTTCATATTCATTTTCAAGAATCAGTTGCAACAATATAATGCCTTATACGAAAATGTCGATGAAATTGCAAAATGGTGCTCTTTATAACTGCGCGCAAGTATTCATAGCACTATGTTGATGTCGTAAGTAGCTTTGCTTCCTCTTTGTAAACTACACTAATACATAGATACTACTGGCAGGTTGTTACGTATGGTTGTATGCTGGTAATCCACAACATGCACACAAATAGGCATCCACATTCTCCTCGTCGTCAGCAAACGCTTCCACCTGTCTTAATCTGGCCGATAAAGAACTACTTAGAAGAACGTATACCGATTCTCCCTCTTCCACAGCCCAGTGGTGTTCCACTCCACTCCAGGGCAGCGGTAGCTGGTCCCCGTACTTCTCCTCGAGGGTCTTCCGGAAGTTCTGCGGAATCCCGAGCTCGTGCAGAATTGTGTTGCGCGGTTCCAGGTAGCAGACCTCGGCGAGCTCGAGGATGTCGCTGATAAGCGGTTCGAAGTCGTGCACGTACACTGGAGGAGGAGGAGGAGGAACGACACTTGCTGCCGCCTTTTTCTTCTTGCCCTTGTTTTCTCCCACAACTCCAACGTCGCGTTGCTTAACGTGCGGCTGAATCAGGGCACGGAGGAGCGGTTCGAGGGATTCCAGGCCCGGCTCGATGTATCGATTAAGGTACTTCACAACTCCTCGGTGCTCCTCACGGTAATGCGCCTTGTAGTCGTCGATTGTGGGCGGCGAATCCTCGTCGCCCTCCCATTCGGTGCCTGGGTTCGCGAGGTATTCGGCTGCCCCTGCTGCGGCGTCGGCCCACAGGTTTGAATTCGCGTAGTTTCGGGCTGCTTCCTGCCACTTCAAGGCGATTTGCTCGCGACTCAGCTCGAACTCCAATGCCCTGCAGAACTCTTCCAGTTCAGTTCGTTCCGGTTTATTTACTGGTTCATCTTGAAGTAGAGGCTTTTTGTCTGGTTGTTCACCAAGCAAAGTAGTTCCTGCTGCACCTTCCTCGTTCTCCTTCATCGTCTTCGTTGACTGGGCGGCCAAGTCTTCCATGGTGAGACGGAAAGCAAGCTCTACCTCGGCGTCATAAACTCGCAGAAAGTTTGTAGCCCGCCACGAATTCATCACAACGACTCCGATTTCTTTTGCCGCAGCCTGTCCGCCCAGGTTAGAAAATCGGAAGATCTTTTTGCCGAGCTCCGCCTGAGCTGCTTCGCGGCGCTTGTCTGTCCAGTGTTCATCGCTGCAAAAATTCCAGTCGGGCTGAAGATTGTCCCCGTGGTGAAAGAACTGAACCCGCAGCTTTCGGCAATAGCGGTCGCGTCGCGCCCAGGCAAAGTACTTTCCCCCCGAGAGCCTCTCGTGCTTGTTCCATTCCGTTTCTGGTAACTCAAAGATGGCCGTCAACAAGCTGACGAACAGGGCTATTTGGCTTTCGATTCCAGCGAGATGATGCAGTACCTCGTACGGGTCCGCACGTTCATCTTTCGGTACTAGCGCCGTGGTCCCACAGGGCAACCACGTATCCGGAAGGGAGTTGCGGGCACTGTCCTTCGTCTCGTCTTTCAAATTCATGGCGTCAATCAGCTCCCAACTGCGGTCGTACACAAAGGAACGGGCCTGCTCCAGAGTGAAACTTGCGAAAAACTCTTCAAAGCGAAAATACGGATCCGACCGCTCGAATTCCTCCACCGATTTACCATTTGTCAGTTGGGCCACGCTAAACTCGGGAGGTGTGATGACGAACTGAAACGATGGAACTGGTGTTTTCGAGGAGGACTTCTCGCATCCAGCAGCTGTCGATAACCCGCCATCAACATCTCCGTAATCGATTGGTGTCTTACGGTCCAGAAAAGTCTCTGGGTGCTCATGTTCTTGCTCAGCAGCGCCTGGATCCTGGGGCTGGGCATCGTCATAATTCTCGTCCGCGGAGGTTTCCTCTAACGTAATTTGCAGCCACTGTAAACGATGCACCGGCGGTAGCAACTGGTCTGCGTCGTATCCTTTGCAAAAGTATCGCACTCGAACTCGTAGAGAAAGTGATTGCAGTTATGCCTGACCACAGATATCTATTTTGAATATCAATACCTCCTTCTCCAGCTTCACAAACGCCATTTTTCCTCTTGGCGAAACTTGTCATTCGATCTATAGCTAGTACGGATTATACTTTTGCAATTCATACGTCGATGGCGTCCGCGATGATGTCGTGCGCACACAGGTCGGCAACGGTTAAGACCTTCGATGGGTCCACGAGCTTTTCGACGACTTTTGTGCCACTCAAGTTGCGAATCCGGATGGTGCGCAGGCAGCCGCTGCTTGTCGTGGTCGCAGAACCATTTTTCGGTAGACCAGTGCTGCCCTTTTTTGCCGAGTGCGCAGCTGCGGTCGTCGACGCTGGCATTCTGAATCAGGATAAAGGAACTGAAACAGGAGGTTGAGAAAGTAGCATAGGAAGTTATTTATTCGGCGCAAAGATCAAGTTTGATTTTCTGTGGAGCCAAGGACAACGGCAGCGCGAGGCAACCGCTTGAAGAAATGGATGAGTCGGAAGTTTAGCTTTCGGATTCGCCGTAAAAGACACCGCCTTTGAGTTCTTACTTTCCGAGCAAAAATCAAACTGAATCATAAAGAATTAGAACTGCATAGAATTCCTCTGCGTCATCAAATGACTCACATAAAAATCGCGGTCTGTCAGGAGTGGGGACGACAAAAAGTGCGGACATATAGCGTGCTGGAAAAAGAAACGGCCGACCCGTATATGCGCCAATCGGAGTTGATTCTAAGTAGTGTTGAAGAATCAGTAACGGTATCAGAATCCATGCGTTTTTTGTTGAATAGTACAGTAATTGCAATGATCTTCAGCTACTTGTTTATTCCTCTAAAGCGTATAGTTTCACTCCTCGGATCTCGTCAACACGACGTGTGGCTCTGGCCGCAGCGATCTAGGAAATCAAACTGATCCGCGATAAACAAACAGAGAACGCGAAGCGGCCATGAACCACGAGCGACCCCACCTGCAGAGTGCTGCCGGATCACTCTTTCCATTCACGACTTGTAGCCGTGCCATGAAAAAGCGACTATGTGCCATGGATTGTTCTATCCAAGCCACTTTGCGCTGATGTTTATTTTGTCCCGTTAACGTTAGAAAAATCTTCGTACAGGAACAGGCTTCTATTCATTGAAATCGACATCGTGAAATACGTACCCCATAGACAACAGTTTTTGCGGACGGACGGCGTTCGTTTTCACACTGTAATACGGCGCCAGCAGCGGGTGCAGAAGTATCGGATTGCTGTTTGAGGCCGCACAATAATACTCATACTGCTGGTACTCAGCAGTACTAGGCGCGGATCCGGTCGTACTGGAAAATGTTGGCGAAAATGCTCGCCCTGGACCCTCCGAACCAGGAGTGCTCTCTGCTTCATTGTGCTGCTGCAAGGCGTTCGCGGAAATAAATGGAGAAGAACGGCCTTGACGATGTACAACTCCCGCAGATGAACAAACCGGTCCCAACTCGTCGACCGCGTCCCGAACCGTCTTGATCACCGAAACGGGTAGAAAAGGAGCTACCACACCGCCAACCCAAGAAACCACGCTATTCCCTGGCATCTTCAGAAGTGCGGGCGTGGAAGATGAAGTGTAGCTGCGCGGCGTGCTGGCGGCGCTGCTGGAGGTCGTTTTGGTAGTTCGTGCGTGCATACTACTCGACGAGTTGTTTGCGGTGGAGTAGAAGGGCAGGCTAGCGGGGGGAGAGCGAAGCTCCTGTAGAGGACGATCGTCGCGTAGTCGTTGTCCTCTTGGATTTTTCTGCTGCTCCAGAGTTGTATTGTTCAACAGCTTCATCTCCCCCGCCACAACCTCGTTCCAAGCGACGCAGAACTGCTGCCTCTGCGCCGCTGCCCCGTCGTGGAGGAAGGTGCTCGGGGAGGAAGCAATCAGGCTTTCGTGGTACTCCGGATAAAATACCGCCTCCGTGGCGATTGCGGTCCTTTCGTCGAACTGAATGCCCCCGTCCGGCGCCACCGCGTTGAAAATCTCCCATGGAGATTCTCCTGGTTGTCCTTTGTTGTAGCTAGAAGTACTGTTCTCGTTCTTGTTCTTTTTTTGCGCACCAGGAACTACGTCGAGCCTTCTTGATATTCCTCCTGCGCTCTTCGGGTTCGCAATGAGGAAAAAGATCACGTCGATCAGATCCTCCGCCGAAATCCAGTGGAGACGCAGGTCGTCGGGATTTTGGCTTTGCGGAAAACTGTTGATCTCGACTGCATTCTTTCCCTCCAGCTCTTGACTTCCATCGCTTTGTTGTCCGACAATGGCCGTGCCGCTTTGATGTTGTGCTCCAAGACCAACGGGCGCAGCACTAGAGCCGTTCTCTTCTCTGGAAGCCCCCCGTGAGGATAATATCCGCGTCGATTTCTTTTTCTTCACAGTCCGACTGTCGTGCTGTCGTGACGTAGTAGATGTTGACGGTGATGGTCGCGAAGTAGCAGAGCCGGGTAGTGAAGGTGATGCTGATGCGATAATATCAGCTTTGTTCTTTATTCCGTCTTCTTTCCGCCGCCCGCACGACCCGCGCCGCTTCCCACAAGACTTATGCAATTTTGCAAATATGTAGTCTCGTCTGGATCTGGCATTTTTGCATGACAAGAAGACTTTTTTCGTTTTCCTGCTCACGCATTACACGACATTTAAGAGTCATGTGAGCCAAGCATCTTGACAACAAACGCAAACCCAGCATTCTACTACTTCCAGACCCAGACAACATATTTGCGGTTGATAAGACTGCGCTGGAGACAACCCGATCCGTTCGAGGAAAGACGGAGGCGATTTTTGGGGTTGCGCCGGACGATCTTCAACGGACTCATCCTCGGTAACGTCCGCAGATGACAGCTCCGACTCGCATTCGAGCTCCCGGTCCGATAATTGTGCGATCGCAAGTTCCCGCGAGGCCTCGATTTTTCCCTGATAGCTACTCATATAGTTCGCGGCTCTACCTGCGGAAGTAGATGAAAACGACGTAGCATCACTGCCGTTCGAGGTTCGCGACGAGAATCGGTCATGCTCGTCCCGCAAAGAAGTTGATCTTTTGGTTCTGTTCGCTGCTGTTTTATTTGTCCCGACGTTGAAAATGTTATCCGGAGGGTATGCGACCGGGCTCATGTCGAAACCGGCAGGGTAAGTGTTATTTTCACGACACACCAGAGCTGCAGACCCGGTTATTTCATCTGGAGCGGAGGATGCAAATTCGCCCTCCTGTCCTTGATGTGCGGCGTTGCCCGACGTCCTGTTCCTCTTGGACGCATTCGCGCGAGCCCGCTTCCGCAGCTCGAAGCTGGTCCTGCGACGCTCTTTCTCCAGTGTGCTCAACGCACGGTCGGATAGGGTGCGAGTCCGGGTCAATGTGGTCGTGGGGCGGGAAACCTCACGGCCCCTGGAAGATGTTGATGGGGCTGGAGATAGTAAAATAGCTTGTTCAACATCCGCTGATTGATGTGATAGTGATTGTCCTGTTCTACTTTCTGCTACTCCTTCTACTTCTGCAAGAGCTACTGCTCCCCCGTGCTGTGCTTTCAACGCGTTCGCAACCAGCAGACTCTGGCCCAACAACAAATCGGACTGCTCCGCAGCTGTCGAAGGAGAGTGGTCAGCAGCAGGGGCCGCTGGTGTGGTGGTGGTTGTGTTTTCTCCTTCTTGCAAGAACGACGTCGACCCTGCTCGAGGAGGACCACGTCGGCTGTATTTCTCCTCGTCCTCTTCCTCACTTTCCCCCGGCAAGCTATCCTCCTCGAAAGCGTCCCGCACGTGCGCGGGCGAGTGCATCGACAAGCTCGTCCGCCCGAGTCTGCGCTCGCGTCTGGCTTCCCGGGTTCGTTTCATCTGCGCCAAGGCTTGCTCCCGCGACTGCTGCCGGCTGGTCACCCAGTTCTGCACGTTTGAAACCAGCTTCTCGGCGTCCTCCTTGCGCTTCTGCAGTTTCTGCTGCTTCTTCCAACTGTAGCGGCCGCGGGCGCGGACGGAAGTGCGGTAGTCGAGGATGACGTGACCCAGACGGAGATAGACGGGCTTGGTTCAACATGCATTGCAAAAGTGTTGTACCGATCAAAAACCGTACCAATCGCAGTCATCGACATCGTGGCAGATCTGTGGTCTCGGGGAATAAATCAGCATTACAAATTGCAGCTTTTTTTTTGTAGTGCGATCTCTACGTGACTAGTACGAGCCTTTTGCAATGCATATTGAGAAAGTGATCATGTCGGAGGACGAGGCGGTAAGAGATGATGTTGACACAAGCGCAGAGGACGTGCTCTCATCTGCAGTCACATCTTCACGGCTTGCTGCAGCTAGTGGCGTGAAGACGCTTTGCGCTTGCCGCTCGATCCCATCTTTCGGAAAACTAGCATTGCTTTCGCTATCGATTTCCATTTTTTTACTATCGTGGGAAAAATAAATTTGGCTCCGCTTGGCCGCGTCAAGACCACTGCTGCTAATGCTCCCAGCACTGACAGATGAAAAGAAGTCAGCAGTCGCTTGTTCTTTCACTGGGCTCCCGACGGCAAAGATCAACTGCGGTAAACTACTTCTCGTCGCGAGCATCCGCTGTACTTTGGGCCAGTTATCGGTACTGAGGATGACCACGACGTCGCATCGGTGCAGGAATTGCAAACGGTTCGCGGACACCACTTCCACATCGGAAAACAGACCGCGCGTCCGGTAAACCATCTCCATCTGGGCGACAAACGCGAGGAAGTTCGTTTGTCTCTCCTTCGTATGAATTGCAAAAGTATCGTACTCGTATAAATGCATGACAAATTCATGCCTCAGCATGAGAAATGAAATTTGTGATGCGGATTTGCGTTGAGAAAAAAATTTGTAACGCATGATTGCAATTACTACGAGCACGATACTTTTGCACAGGATACTTTGCAAGAACCTCGTCGGGGGAAGTGGAAGTCAGCTTCCGCTCGAACGCGTACAATGGCTGGTTCCTCGGAGAACAAAGAAGACCTCCGCCGGGTGCTCTACTTGCTTCACCACAAGAGGAGCTTACAAGAAGATTTTCAGTATAATCACACGCAGAAATTTCTTGTTCCCATTGCACCGGACCGCAGGTACAGGATGATGTGACTTCTGAAGTAGAAGTAGATCCGGAAATTGATGATGGTCCTGGTGATGTCGAGACGGGCTTGTCCTTCCTTTTCAGCAACTGAGGCTGTTGCGATGTTGGCGATGAAGTCGTAGGTCGTGTACTCCGCAGCTTATGCAGATTGCAAAAGTATTGTACCGTACTAGTACATGTACAACAAATTGCATTTTACAAATTTGAATTTTTGCAGGAGAAGGAACAAATACAACTACGAAGCATTTGTGATCATCCTCCTGATTTAGGTGATTGTAACAAACTAGATTTGTCATAGTCCCGGAAATTGTACCGACGTACAAGTACGATACTTTTACAGTGGATACAACTCTTCGTCCACTAACAGCTCGTCGAACGCATTCCCGACGTAGAGGGCGACCTTGAGAGCTTTCTGACCCTTCAGTCTTGACACCAGCTGCGGGGTGGAAGACGAAGACGCATCAATATTACCCGTCGTAGTAGTAGATCTCTGTGCGAAAAGTTCGTACTCACGCATAAAGAACTCGTGCTTTTCGCGCAAGTCAAACAGGGTCTTTTCGGGCTGCGTGGCAGACGAGAAAGGATTGAGGTCAGAAAAAGCCTCCGACAGAAGTTGGATTTGCTTGTTTCTCCTGGTTTTCGTATTTGATGACACGGCCGACGAGGAGCTTTGTAGTCCTTTGCTCGATGTTGGATGTGTACGTGTATCAGCAGGAACGGATTCCTCAACGATTCCATTGACATAGTTTTCCACATCGGATATGGTACTATTGTCGTCCTCGGCGGCGGCAGAGCTTTCTTTGGTGGGGTCACCGTCCTTCTGATTCCGTTTATTTGCAACGCCAGTAGAAGTTGAAGTAGTCGCGCCGCGACCATCTTTATTTTTTGCGACAACAGCTGCGCGGGTGTCAAGCACTTTCGTGGTCAGGCTGCCATTGTTTCCAAGGAGATACCCTGGAATTTTCTCGGTTGTGACCGCCTCCACAAGCTTCCCCAGCCGCTCCTGCTGCTCTTTTTTCTGCGCATCGGTTGTTGTCGAGACTTTGTTTGGGACCCCCGCAGCTGTAGAAGTACCAGCTTCTTTCTCTCTCCTTCGACGTTTCAACATCCCTAAATCCACCAAACAGTTGAACAGAGAACTCGTTCGTAGATCGTACTGCCTGCGCGCCTTGTCCGCTCGGAGCAGTAAGGCGATGATGGTGATACAACTCCCACTACTCGCGTCGACCGAACTCGGCCCGTACTGCAGCGGCGCGCCGAGGACTTTGGGGCGAAGGAACTTCGCCCAGGCCTCGGAGGAAAATTGGGTGGCCTGGTCCTGGAGGAGGTGAAACAGGCCGAGAAGACGCGCTTCTCGCCGTTCATCCGGTTGCGAGAGAAGGGGGGCGATTACTTCCATAAGGTAGAAATTGGGGAAAAGGAAAATAAATTACTTCGTTTGTAACAAGTACAAGAAGGTTCGACGATCACCGCATTAGTGCGACAATGATGTTGTGAAATATGGTCCAAGTTCTTCACGTTGTTCTTTTCAAAAAAACCTGAAAGTATCGGACGTGAGGCACGACACACGCCTAAACTTTTTTGATGCGATACATACAACTAGACACTGACGTTCATTGAGTACTCCATTTGAAAACTTTCTTTATCAAAATGAAAATGGTGATCGTAAAGGTTGAGTGCTTGTTTTCCCCTAGCAGAAGCGGCCGACCGAAACGCACGATTTGAGTTGTATCCCCTCTAGCTAAGTAAACATGAAACACGACAAACATGGCGACGAATAGCGTCCATTTTTCCCTCGACAACATTCTTTGCCTGTAGTGATCCCCTTTCCAAAACGAGATGTTGAAATGGCGCAAGCACTGCTCCATGAAGACGACGTTACTAGGAGCACACAAAGTCGTTCTTCCGATGCAACAAGAAAGGCGACGCTAATTTTCCCGAAAAGTATAATTCTACGAACGGCGTCGGAGCAGCTGCAACAGCAACACGCCTGCTTCCCAGATAATGTTGAGTGGAAGCAAGTAGAGGAGTCGGCTTCATTGGCACGACTGGCGTGCTGTGTAGAAGATTTATCTGGTTCTACAACATAATGTTCCTTCACATCATCCATACAACCATCAACACAAGTTCTAGTAGCAGGCTCTACGTGGTCACGGTGCTCGGTTTTCTTCGATTAAGTTTGAGCATCCTCAGGCAATCGAAAACGCAGAAATGTTGATGAGACAATGAAGGCTTTTGCACCACATTCGACGCACCTAGAAGTTCAAAACCCCTTCACGACCATCTTGCCTCTGCTTGAATCCTCATCCTGATCATCTTCCACTTGTTACAGGGCATCACATAAAAGTCCAAAAAGGTTGATAAGTACAGATAGACATGATGTAGATGATAAGCACTGTGCTTACACTTTCATTTGTATTTCGGAAAAGAAATCGTTCGTAGAAGTTCGGAGTGGAAGAAGTAGTTGTTTTTAAAGAGGCCAAAATTAAGGGAGAAAAAACATGAGGCAAACGACGTGGCACGAGGACCCGCACCTCGTCCACATCAACTGGTAATTAAGTACAAAAAGTCGTGACCGTTAGTTTTATGGTTCGTTTTTGGCTCGTTTCATTCGGAAGTAGACTGTGGTCTTTTCAGCTTTATTTCTTTGTGCTGGGAGTCTGTCTTTCCTGACTTTCTAAGATGGCTATTCTATGTATATCCGATTTCAAAAAGGCTTTGGCTGTAGCTTGTAATCCTAACAAAGCGCACAAGTACTGGAAATCCACATTTCCTTAGCTGGAAATCCTAATCCATTTTTATCCTCTTTATCTTTTTGTTTTTCTCAACATGAACATCATACAATCGTTCAATCCGCCGGTTGGCCCTCGTTTCGCGCTCACCTCGTTTCTCATCGTTATTGAAAAACGAAGCTCCCGGACGACCTCCCGGCCAAACCGGTCGTGTCACCCACAGAGGAAACGCTTCCTGAAGTGGGCGGGGCCGGTTCTACCTGGGCAGCTCTTCGGGCGCTGCCGTCATGAGGGCGTCGGCGGAGTTGTGCGACGTAGTTCTTGCGACGATCATTTTTGTCAACATTGTTAACGAGTGCAACATCACGTCTATGAAGATCTCCATGTTGATCATACCGTTCATCTACTGCTGCACCCATCTCGTGCGGTACAACTTCTTCAACTCCTGCTTCATCTGTTTGCGCCGTATTGAGAATCCGCCCCTCCAAGTCTCGGAGATCAAAAACCCGCCTGCTGGGATTCTCGCTTTCCAAGAACTGCCGTGTAGAGACCTGCTCTAAAATCGGGACGTTGTGTTCGTTTGTAGAAGTAGTTTGTTCATCAGCAGCCCTGGCTGCTCTGCGTGCACGCAGACCCACCTCGGAATAAGACCGCCCAGAAACGGCTTGTTCTGCTTGATCTACTGTGCCGCGCTCCGTAAAATTATCCTGCACACTGGAACTACTCAGTTGACCGATTAGCCGCTGAGACGCATTCGTAACAAAGTGGTGTCCTGAAGAGAAAGAACCGAGTGGAGCTGCCGCACCAGGCGTGACGGATCCGGAACGCCGCTTCTCTACGGCTCGTTCCGGTTCTAAATCAATGTGTCTTTGCGGTGAGGCCGAAGCGGAACCTCTCGACGCACCGTTTCCACCTGCTCCGCCCCGACCTGTTTCTCGATGTTGTTGGCTATTGTTCAACTGCCCCACTTCTTGCAGCCTCTGCCGTTTTGTCTTGCGAACCCGCTGGGAAAATTTCGATTTCTGCAGAAAACCTCCTTCGTTGGGTCCACCGCCCTGGTTGCCGCTGCTGGGCAGCACGACCCCCGAGGGAAGCATTTCTTCCATGACCATGTCAGCATTGGGATAATGTAAATGTTCCCGATCAACTTGGTCGTGTACCAGCAGCTCTGCAGTGCGTAGGGCGGGAGCATGTCCGCTAGAATCTTCGTGATGTCCAAGGCCTTGCTCATCTCCAACGAAGTGAGTCGTGTGAAGATGTAGATGTTGTCCACCTTGAGGTCGTTCTTGACGAGGAACGGGACCCATTCTCATCCCGTAAATTCGCTCTGCACTCGGCATCATCGGATCTTCACTTGGGACGAAAGCGAAAGAGAAATGCGTCGATGGCATAGCTGCCGGTGGCGGTGATGCAGCAGCAGCAGCAGCAGAGGAAGAAGATGAAGCTCCCGTACGGCTGGCCTGCTGGTGCCGCGACCACGTGCGGTGCAAAGACGACAACCCAGCATCTACATGCTCACCTTGTTGTTCACCAAGCGCAGCGGCGCCAGAATGATCTCTTCCCGCTGCATGTCTCGTCGACGGCTGTCGTCCGTTTAACCACAGTTGCGCCGGAGAGGGAGGAGCCGTAGCACTAGCAGAAACTGCTTTATTTCGTAGCTGCGCCACTTCAGCGTGGTCGTGGTGGTGCGCAACATCCGCAACTGCAACGTCAGCGCTCTTCTGTTGTTTGAGCAGCGCAGCGTCCGGAGCAGGAAGTTCCTTGTCGGTGTGATCAGGCTCCTCTTCTTTTTTAGCCACTGGGCCAGACCCGTTCGCCGCTGCATGGTTATGGTGGAACCGGTTATTTTGAACATATTGGTTCCAACCAGTCGTGATCGACTCCTCTGTGGTCCTTGTTACCGTGCTCGCGTCAGTCGTGAACGAATCAATGCGATGAATGAGGGCTGCGGGGTCAGGATTTTCTTCACGTGCGGTTCCAGCATCTTGCGCCGTTTCCACCTCGTCGAGAGAGGGTGTCATCACGGCGTTGTGTCCCAAGGTAGAAGTACCGTGCTGCGGTTGCGTCCCGGCCGTCGTTGCGGCGGTAGTCCATGAGCCGCTGATATTATTGAACGCGTTGTACGTCTTTTTAGCGCTGCTCTACTCCTCTTGCATCATGCATTGTTTTCAACACATCAAACTCGAAGATGAAAGCTGCATGTCAGGACAATGTCAATTTACACAGGTTGTTGTGGATTGAAGAACAATTCAAATAAAAATGTGAGAAACTCACTATATACGTCATCGACGCCCCGGGCAGTTGCAGCTGTGCCGACGGCCCGGACGCTGTTTCCTTCCCAACCTCCTCCTTCTGAATATCCCGCCGTGTCACTGGCACCACCTGGAATGGGGCGGGAGGTGAACCGGGGGCGGGTGCCAAGGTGGGTGCGGCGCCCTCCTGATCGCGCGACGTCGTGAGGACACCATCTTGTTCACCATCATGTTGAACTCGTGCCCATGCGAATTCGCCGCGAAACAACACCGCAAACTCTCGCTTGGCTTTCACGGAATACCAGGTTTGATCAATCTGTTGTGTAAAAATTTTTTTTCAGCTGCAATGAGAACATCTACATCAAGGCGAAAAAAGATGAATCGATCAAGACCCAAATTCAGCATCAGCACCAGCTGGTGCTGTGCTTTTAGTTTCAGCAGACGCTAATGGTTTATCTATATCTTAATCTTGCTGCTGGTAGTACCTGAAATTTCAGTTTGGCGAACGCTCCGGGGGACTTGATTGTGATAGCGCGATCCGGGAAAAACTGGCTCGGTTGCTGCAATACACCCTCGCTGTCGTAGTAAACGTCCTGGTAGATCCGTTCGTGGAGGTAGGTGAAAAAGTCCATTTCCTCAGCAGAACGGTCGTGCTGGTCCGATACAGGTGCGGGGATTTCAGCTGCGAGTGACGAGGAGGAAGAAGTCAAGGTCGATCCCATATTGGCACCACGACTGGTAATACTACCATGATCTTGTTTGGAAGATGAAAGAGATGAAACAAACAAGCCTAACAGTGCTTCCGCCTGGTAGTCGTAATTGTTTTCGTCCACAGCGTATCAAATGTAAAAATGTCTGGGTCTGGAAGAGTGCATGTTTGTCATGCTTGTCTGGCATGACTCTCAAATCTGTCATGCATGTTACCCAAGAGCGCCACTTTTCTGTCATGCAGAAACGCAGTTTGTCATGCAGAATAGGCAACACCTGGAAGCTCAGAAACTTGTCATGCTGAGCCAGCACTTGTGGCCTCCTCATGATACGCCACCCAGCATCACAAATTTCCAGACCCAGACATTTTTACATTTGATACAGCGACTTGGTAGTTTTTGTGTGCCTCGTAGCAACTAAACCTTTATGCTCTACAAAAGTACCGCACTCGCTCCTAATTGCAATCCTGCATGACAATTTTTGTTTCTTAGCCAAATCAGCATTACAAGTTCCATTTTTCCTTCTGGAGAAATTTGTCATGCGATTTGTACTACGTACGATACTTTTGCAATGCATAACCGCAACAACCGCTGGTCTTCGGACAACTGATCGCCGAAATAGAAAATTGTTGGCGAGTTATCCCGAAAGTTCGCCGCAAACCACGCTTCCGCAAATTGCTCCTCATCGGTGGGGTGGCGGACGAAGTTTCTATGCTTCAGGGCCGCCAGGGGCGCTGCTGTGAAGGTTCTCGCCTTTTTCTGTTCCGCGTTCATCTCGCCGACATGCACTTTTATGGAAGATGTGCTTGCAGCATCTAGATTTGGACTTGCACCAGCACCACCAGAGGACCGCGAAGTGGTACGTGAAAGGGAGACTGCTTCCTCCAGTAGCCGATCCTGCTGGTCGAACGCCGCGGAATAGTCCCAGTTGGCGCGCCACTTGTCCAGCCAGGAAATCTTCGCCGTGGCAGTAGAGAAGGAGAATTGTTCCAGTTCCTCCTGTTGGTCTTGGTCGTGCTTAATATCTTCTTGCCCTTTTCCGTCCTCGTCCGCTACTAGCCCTTGCGCACTACTGCCTCTGCCGCCCAGACCTGCACCACTGCTCCCAGCAGCTTCCGACCGCACGTCTGGCGACGGGGAGGCACTCCTGCTGTTCTCCACAAAAGGTTCTAATTCTACTCTTGGAGGCAACAAATTCCGCCTCGCCAAGAAGTCCAACGCGACCACCGTCCAGCACATGCCAGGTCCCGCGCCCTGCAGCAACTCGTACACGCCGTGCTTGCTCGCCCAGTGTTTCTATCCTGTGCAAAAGTATCGTACTCGTATGCATCACAAATTTTTTTCTTGAAGGTTAATGTAAATCCGCATTACAAATTTTATTATGCTGAGAAAATTTGTAGTGCGTTTATACGAGTACGATGCTTTTGCACTGCATAGCTTCACCAGGATTACAAAATCCCTTGCTAGTAACAATTCCTTGGCCAGTTTCTGCAAGAAAACCGTCCCGGCCAACTCCGTCCACTCTTGCACGTCCGCGCGCACGTGGAAGTCGAGATGGATCAAGTTTTTATCCTTGTCGTGCTGCAGAATTTCTTGTTCGGATTTCGAGCTCGTAATCGCGGCTTTCACATCAGCGATGACGTCGTCGAGGGTGATCAGCATGTTGGGCGGGCTGCTCTTGACAGCAGCAGTTATTGTTCCGGAACTGCTTTGTAGTAGTCCTTCATCGTGTAGTTCCTCGTCCTCTTCGTTTCCTTCCTCGATCACAGTTTCGGGATTCAAATCTTGGCTCATCGTCATCAGGTCTTGCGAATTAATGTCGCGTGATGAATCATGTAGCTGGCAGTCCTGCTGAAAATCGAGGCTAAGACCGGTGTGCGACTGTGCTTGCGAATCGAAGGACGCCTGGCTGCTACAATTGTGGAAGACCATTTCCATTTCGTCGTCTTGATTTTGATGTTCCTCGACACGATGCGACGTCGTGTGCGTCGCGGCCATCTGCTCGTCGCCAGCTTGATGTTCTATTGGAAGGACATAGAGCGGTTCGTTGGAATAATCAAAACCATGATCCACGTGGTCCGGGTCCACCGCAGATGCAGTTGCACTTGCAGAAGCAGATGCACCTGCATTACGTGATGGCATCAGTACTTTATTTTGTTTTTCCGAATGCGATTCCGATTCACCACGGTTTTGATCTGCAGTTGCAGTTTGTTTGTGGCCGTGGTCTTCAAAGTCCTGTTTCCGCCTCGACCGAGAGAACCACACATCGTGAAGCAACTGCCGCAGATCCGATTCCTGGGACCTCTCCAGTGCGTGCTGTGGTGGCAAAACACCTCCTCCCGACATCGTCATGTTGGTCCGCAGTGTTTGTGTTCTTACCGAGGCACTGTTGCTGGTACTAAAGTTTGATTGATCTGGAGTTCCGGCAAGAACGGCAGCCGGAACGAGATTTTCACGACTACTTGTAGGTAGCTGGACATGAAGATCGAAGTCGCTTTGCGTGTGACTCCCTTTCCTCCAGCCTGCCTGGCCCAACTCTGCCACCGCGTGTTCTTTGGTGTCGCGAAGGGCCTGCAACCAATTTTGGTCTTGGAACAGGACGTCCGGATCTGCTTCGATTAAAAGACGGAAACCCACGGTAGGGTCCGGGTGCGGAACCACGCGGCCGTTGCTGTTTATGCGGGAGGAGTGTTGCAGATGAATTTTCAATTTGGATTTTGTTCAGCATAAACTGAAAAACAGAATTTCAAGTTATTTCAAAAAAATCTGCAACTGGAAAAACGAAAAAAAAAACGTCCGCATCTCGCGAGACCATGATCCACATTGCATTTCTACAATCATTTTGATACCTGAAAAATGCATTCTGTCCCAGCTTTTCTCGAATCGCTTCCAAAGTCCCGGTCTTTCTCCCCTCAAAAACGCAGGCGGGTCGACTGATTAGCATCAGATCTAAATCCGCGTCCAATGAACCCAGCCCGGTAAGCGTGCTGCCGAAACGGAGCAGCGGCACAAACATGGCATCCGGGGTCGACGACCAGGATTGTAGTGCGGTTGGGGGCAGGGATTCGACGAACCCCAGGTATTTGAGGTATAAGACCAGGAGGATTTTCTTCCGGTTCTCCTTGTCGCTCACCCTCTTAAACAGCTGCAACCACTGGCCGTTTGATTCTATAATAACTCTGTGAGATGCAGGAGTTGCAGTTGGCGCCTCGGAAACGTCAAGATCTGCTGTGCCACTAATGCCACCATTTTGTTCTGCGCCAGGTTGTAGCAGAGTGTGGCCTTGGGAGGTGTTCCCTGCGGTACTTGCTTTCTGCGCTGAGGATGATGATTCATCCTGCTGTGTTGTCGTGTTGTTAATCGGTTTTTGTTCCCCCGCCGGGTTTTGACTTTGAGGACACGACGCCGTGGCAGATGAATGATAATCTCCACAACCTTGCGGCCCTGTGCCTGAGTCTTTTGTCTCAGTTCTCTGTTGTACTGCATCGCCATTCCTTGTCCCCCTAGAAGTTCCTGTTCCTCGTACAGCGGCTACTATCTTCTGCAGCACATCCGCGCCTGGAGCAAGAGCTCCTGCCTCGGGTGCAGTAGATCGTGCTGCAGCAGTACCAGCAGAATTGTTCAAAGCTTGGAAACTGTGCTGCGTTTCGGGTTCTTTCTCATCCTCATGGTCCAACAACATTTTCTGGGAAGTAGAGGGCGGTGTTTCATCTTCCTGTTCTTCGGCACCATTCTTAACAACATCTTCATCCCGGCCAGCAAGACCAACCTCTTCCGTCATTTCTTTCCCCATCAAGCGCCTGAGCAAAGCGAGTTGCTGCTCGATTGCGTCTCGCTCCTTGTTATCGGAGTCTGTAGTTTCAATCTTAGGTGGTGGACCACGGTCGTGCTGGACCACGGTGGGGGTTGTCGTGCTCCTACTTCCCCTGCCATGATCAAGAGACGCCCCTAGGTTTTCTTCTTCTAAATTTTTAGCAACAGCAGTCGCAATGTTTTCGGGAATCGGGGGTGTGGGTGGCCGCGCCGCGAGGATCGGGTCGATTGGCACGGCCGCCCAGGATATCCTGTGCAAAAGTATCGTACTCGTAGTAATTGCAATCATTCATGCATTTACAAATTTTTTTCTGAAGCTAAAGCCGCATTACAAATTTTATTTCTCATGCTGAGGATGTTTGTATATGCATTTATACGAGTGCGATACTTTTGCAATTCATACAGGACGACGGAGCAGATCCAGATGACGACACAAGAGAGGACTTATGATCGGTGGCCTGCGCTGCAATGCGCAGGAGCGACGCGGGTGGCGGCGACATCGCAGGTGGCGCACGGGGAACACCAATCCCGGTGGACGACCCAAACGGCGCTGCTCTGTTCTCAACAACACCAGGCCAGGTGCTGCCGCGTCCGAGATCATCATGGTGGTCCTCCCATGAAACGTGATCGGCTGTAGAATGTTTTTCCAGCTTTTCTTGGTCCACTGGTGGGAACAAGGGATGTGGTGCAGCTGGGACCACTGCACCAATAGACCATTGCTGATCGTAGTCATACCAACCAGCGGAGCCCCCACCAGCTGCGTGCCAGGCAAGTTGTTGCTGGTGAGCGTCTTCTTGCGCAGCTGCCATTCGTTGCAAGTACTGCGCCTCGTACTGTTGTACCTGTTGCTGCCATAAAATCTGCTGTTCCAGAGCCCGGTGACTGTGTGCCAGAAACGCGCGACCGTCTGCATGCTGATGTTGTTGTTTTCCCGGATGCAGTTCCGTGTTCGTTGCGGCTGCGGATGTTGATGAAGGTTGGGAAGGTGCCAATCCTAAAGCCACCAAGTTCTCAGCAGCTTGCGTAACTCGACGCGCTGCTTCCAAGACCCCTGCGGCAGTTCCAGTTGCTACCGGAGCTGCACGACCGGGTGGACGAGTCGGGGGCTCATTCTGTTTCACTGTAGTTTTTGGATTCTTTGGTTCATCAGGTCGTTCATGCGCTGCAACACGAGGCGAAACATCCATCCAAGATAGATTCCGTTCGTGAGTAGAAGAGGAGGAGGCCGCGCCAGTTCCCTGACCTCCGCGCGGGTCTCGCGCAGGAGTAATCGTTTCTTGTTGTTCTTGTTGCGCTGCCACGTCGTGGTTCATCATCCAAGTAGACGCCTGATTTGCGTATTGCTGGCTAGTATCCACAAAATGATGACCAACATGCGGCACATCATACTCGTCAAACCAGCCAGGGTGTTGTTGTAGTTGCTGGTACCCGCCCACAGCAGCACCTCCACCACACATGCTGGTCATTATGTGAGGACCCGCCCCTGGCGACGTCCATGTTGGACGATCGTGCTGCATCATACTGGCCCCAGGCCCAGCACCGAAGGAACTCGCCGGAGACACGCCTGGCGACCCTCCTTCAAAGTGAAAACCGTTCAAAGGGCCACCTCCGTCAGCCGCAAGGGTGTTCGTGTGGTTCCAGGGGCGCGGCGGAATAACGGTGAGCGGGAGGCCTCGGGGGTGATGGAAAAAATCGTTCCCGATTTGACTTGCTTGCTCCACAGGAGGCATGCCAGTGGTCTCACTGGTTGTGCCCCAGCTGCCGCCACTTCCATGATCGCTGGCAATGCCACGGTCGCGCGGGGGCGCCACTGCACCGAGAACCACATTCGGCTCATGCTGGGGTGGCGGCGGGATCACGGGCGCGGCTGTAGCCAGAAGCGCGAAACCCGGGCGCGGCGACGTCTGAGGTTTCATGTTCAAGTTCATCTGGCTGGAGCTCCACGAGGAGGTGGCTGCTCGGGGATCATGCTGCTGGTTGTCTTCGTGCGACGGGGGTTGCGTTTGTGAGGCCGAGGAAGAAGATGCGACTTCCTGCTGCACCTATGTATAGTAAACAGATGGAAAAAATGATTGAATGGAATCTATCACGAGGAAAACAGCCATGCGTATCTTAGAGCACTATTGAAATAAGTACGAAAACGCTCCTTCTTACCGGCGAAGCTTCTCCTCCTTGCCAAGATGAAGAAGCAGGAGCATGATCCTCCTCTCTGTCCTCTGGTGCAGCTCCGGCTTGCAACTCCTGATCGCTTGTTTTTCTACCGGCGTTGGCAATAGGAACAGCGGATTGTTGAGCTTCATCTCCACGACCCACGCTGCTCGTTGACGAGGACTGCGACGAAGAACTTCCAGTTTTTGCGGTCAGCCGTGCGGCGGCCACCAGACCCGCATGGCTGCGAGGCTGCACCACACTTCTCAGTGCGACCAGAAAGTACACCAGGTACGACAGCGTCATTGTTGGCGATGTTGTCGTGTGCACAAGAGTGGCCTCCAACACAGAAAAATTTTCGGAGGCCCTGTTGTTCCGTAGTGGCTCTGTAACTGACGTAGCTGTTGTCCTCGAATATTTCACTACGAAGCTCTTGTTGAGTACGTGTGTTTATAAAGATGGCTGTTCACCGGCGCATCGCCGGCAGGACCAGGAGAAGAAGAGGATTAGTTCGGAACAGTAGCGGAGATAATGGCTTCGAGAAAACAGCCGCGCCAGCAATCCTGGTACACGTACAAGGCTCGATTGATGTTTCTCTTGTTCTCTTCGTACGGGTAAGTAAGTACTTGATGTGTCACCGGGGCCTTCAGACACTTCTGCACAGGTGAAGGTCTCGTCTGTTTGTTTCCTTTCCCGTGTGAAAAAAAGTTTACGCGCCCGAGCCGTACTCAGCACCAGTACCACGGATAAGCCTCGTACTTACCCTTCCGGCAGCTTTGGCGTTGACTTGCTTCGACGACGATAATATTAGGAGCTGTGGGTCGGGATAACGATGATTTCCGAATTCGTAGATGATGACGAGGCGAGGGTGTGTTCGTCTCCCGCTTCGTTAACGTTCTTGGAATTCTCTTGGAATTGGAATATGTACCCGGCCTGTAGTTAGATCCTGGGAAAAATGCTCGGTCCCCTTTGTTCGCCTTCAAGCTAGGCAACAATCTCGTCTTGCGGTGCGGCTGCGGGTTTTGGTGTTGTAGTGACTGATCCCACCTTAGAGTTAGAAGAAGATCCACACACGGTTCCAATATCGTCAACTTGTCTTTACGCTTTTATAAGGTTGGGTTTTTATAGCTAATACTGGGTATTCATGTACTTCTTTTTTTCATTGCTTCTTATTCATTTCTGCTTGGGTTTCTCGTTCTTTTTCTCTTATCATTCTAACTATGGTTTTGCTTCTTCATCAAAGGTCGTTGAAAACACCGACTGCCAAAAATGGAAAAAATCTTCTATTCATGAGGGGGGTACCCGGAAGGAAAATTGGATGTTGCCGATGTTGAAGTTAAGTAATAATTTGTCTGTTGCTGCATTGGCAGCATGTCAACAAGAATCTAGAGTACGGTGCTCGATTGATGTTGATCCAAATCAAAATTACAATCTCGGTCGTCCAGGACTTCGCAGAGCGCTAACGTGGTCCACCTAGGACCCGTAAGCGGCAGCTGCAACGGGGAAGGAGCCGGATGGTGCCTACGTTCATTGTATTTTTAGCTTGCTATGTCTTCGATGTCGTCAACGACTTCCGATTTTATTTTTTGTTAGTGAGGATAATAAACTCAAACCACGCTGCGGATGAACAAGAGACAGGAAGGATCAAGATCAGGAATCCTCGTTCTAACGAAATTAATACTTATAGATGAAACCACCTACTTCAGGAGGACTAGATGAGCAGGCTAGGAACTTCTACGCAACCACGCGTGAGAGCCTTGAAGCCAGATGATCTACTTCCAGAATCGCCGCACTGATAAAGAAGATGATGCGATCATGTTGAAGAACTATTGACAAGCCCGCTGACCGTTTTATGTAAGGAATTGTTGACCACCCATGGGAACATCAAATGGATCTGGATGCGAGGAACTTCCACGAGATCTTGATCTTCTTGATACAGATCCTCGCCTGTTGAAATTACTTAAAGTACTCGCAGCTTCTCGGGCAAATAATAGTCGCTCCGTGGCCCAAAAGCACATCGAACAAAGAGCAGAATTACGACTACTTTAACTTCCATGCGCCGAGAATCACGTGGCCGCATTCGAAAATTACGCCTCCAATAGTTTGCAGAATGTACAGTACACGATCCTACAGTACGACATGATCTATACCTGATTGCTTAGTTCATTTTTAGCACAAAATTGTATGCAGTTGCACCCGGCTTCTGGTCTTGCGGTTGCGATTAGCGGATTTTAACATAAAGGAAGGGCGTACAACCTGCCTCAGTACCCGCGCAGCATGAGGTTGAGGTCTAAGGACACTCTTACATCTGTTCGTGTAGCAGACATGTTGCGCAGTAGTTGTTCTTGATGACGCGAACAACATATAATATTCCTCGACCTCGACCACGACCACGAGGTCGTGTATAATCAATCTTTGTTGCTTGCCACCTACGGTTTTCCTTGTTCATTTTCTCGGAGATAAACGTACCGTCCTTCCGCATCACCATGGTCACTTCAGCCAAATAAGAAAAAGGTCAACAAAACTACACGACAGGCTCTACTTTATAAGCTAGTGACTTTCACTATTTTCGGTAGTAAACGAAGGAATTTCAATCTGTCATGTTGATCTAGAAGTAATACCACCTCTATTCAAGCTGTGACCAGGTTGCTTGCGTTAGGAGCGTCTGCTTCTGCAGAGGCTAAAATACTGATTTTTTTCTACTTGTACGCACTGGTACAATTATTGAGAAAGAAAAACAGAGGCCCTGCATCGGACATCGCCAAAGGTGTTGTTAAAAATGCATCTTCAATTATGTCCATGTGTAATACCCAAAGCTCCGAGGTAACGGTATGGCACACAACTTCTAGGCGTTGTGACTTATTCTGACCACGCGAGTCAGCTTGTCTCCTTTGCTGGAACTCGAGGACGAAGCACCAAGAGCATCCTTTTGGTACACGGAGAAGAAGACATCGGACGGACAACACAGCCACAAACATGCGGTCGAACTACGGTCGCATCACGGCTTCACCAGGAGGCGGAACGTCAAGAAGATTTGGATTCTGCAACTGGCATGCACCAGGCACTTGCTCTCCAACAGGTGTAGCCGACACGGATGAGGCAGCTTGATGTGCTGGCGCTGATGCTAAAACTGGGGCAGCTCCGCTGGTCCTCCTCGTGGTCCCAACACCTTGCTGCTCGATGTTCGGCATTTGCTCCAGGAAGATTTCCTGAACGATCTCATCGTACTCCATCTCCATACCGAAGTCCTGCAAATCTTGCTTCATTCGCTGTACCAATTGCTCGTACTCCGGTTTGAATAGGAGACTTTCATACACCTGCGATAAATTTTTTTCAAACAGGTCAACCAGGTCATGAAGATGTAGCGGAAGTGTTCTATTACTTCTCTGGCAGTGGCTGCTTCTTGTCAATCTAAATAAATTTCAAAAAAATGATGTGAGAAGAATTCGCAGAACGGCAACCACTTTCCTAGTTTGTAGTTGTACCCAGTGCACGTATTCCATGTGCGTTTTGGAGTTCGCATCGAAGCCGAGGATGACGGCCGCCGCCCCCTCTGCGGCCAACTTTTCCCCGAAAACCCGCACCTGCGCCCGCTGCAGCGTGCCGGCTCCGCGAAAGTGCATCTCCGTGCCGCTGGCCGTCGGCGACAGGATCACGTCTTCCGGTCGCACGCCGCTGTTCCGGGGAGTTGTGTGGTACTGTTCCCAGGGAGTCTGCTTCTTGCGAGGGGTCGCCAAGGAGCGTGGACCGCGTCCAGCAGCAGACCCGGTCGGTGTCTCGCTGACTGTCGCTGCGGAGGCAACACGAATTGGGTCCTGCTCATCTTCCGCTGGTTCGACTCCAGGAGCATTGGGCGAAGAGGAGGCGGACGCAGAAGCCAGGTCTTCTTCATCGTCTGCGCCAGCAGTACCAAATATAGCCGCCGGGGCGGGGGTAGTGAGGTCGTGGGCGTTTTTTTGCCAGCCGCCGCCTTGGCCGCGGCTTTGCTTTTTCTGGGCTCGCCATACCGCCGTGAGTAACGTTATGCCGCACGGTATGGCGGCCACTTGGGAAACGTCACAAACTTTGGCACATTTCCAAAATTCCTTTCCGAAAGCCAGCCCCGATGCTATGGGGCCGATCGGGGTACCACGGGGGGCGCCCAAAAATTGAAGAAAAACCGGGCCCATAGCATGCGGATTGGCTTTGCGCGTCTGGGGCGCTTTTTATTTTTCGCGTTTTTATTTTTCACGCCGGCGCTTTTTGCAAAGCTTCCCAGGCTTTAAAACCGGCGAAAAGGCGACCGCTTTCGCGGCCGCCCAAAATGCTCCGAAATCGCGGCCGCGCCATGCTGTTTCGCTGTTCTGATTTTGGGCGCGTTTTTTGCGCGCCTCTTTTTGGGCGCCCCAAATCGCCAGAAACCAAGGCGGCGGGCGCCTCAGAAGGGCGCCCTATTTGCAGGCTCCCCTGCGTCGTTTTACCCAGTGCGAATCGATAGTTTTCGACCGGGCTTGTTTGACGGCAAAGCCCCGTCCGCTTGATAATTAAAACTTTTTTATGTCAAAAAGCGCCTCCGGCCGCTTGAAAACTGCCGGTCGTTTTTCAGGGTAGCTGTCAAAAAAACTCCCTGGTTAGAACCGTTCGGTGACCTCACTACATACTATCTCCTCCGTGCTTATCATTCTCCGTCCACAACCGCTTCTTCTGAAACGCCCCCTTCAGTGTGGCGTCTTGCGTCAATTCGTCGTCGTACTTTCCGCCGGACAGGTGGCTCTCTCCCTCGGCCAAAATTATGATCCCCTTGCACTTGACCACCGTGTAGCCGACCGACCGGCGCGGGATCCCGTCGGGGTAATGCTCCATGGCGCCGTTCCAGCCTTTTTGCTCGAAGGTCAGGTCGTCGTCGCAAAACTTTTTCAGCATCGGGCCGAATTTCAGGTACACCGTGTTGCCCATCAGTAATTTTCTCCCCTCGGGAAGGACGGAGTGGAAGAATTTATCCGCTTTGAAGACCTCTTTGTCAGATTCCTGCGCCGCCGGGACGTGGTCGACCAAATTGTTCCGCATCGGGGGCGGAAGCCCCTGGTGATACGATTGCTGCGGATTCGACGCCAGTTCGTAGCCAAACTCTCCGAGCAGCCGGGTCCAATACCCTTCCAGCGGCTTTACATCCAGGTGGCAACTTAACGTGTCCTCGTCGACATCACCTTGCGTGTCATAGTTTTCGTTCGGCTTGCCCGTGTACAAATCCTCCTGGAACATCACTGCCACGATAGACATGGGGTTCTCCGCCAAAAATTCGTCCAGCTCGCGCAGCTTTTTGTGCAACACCGCCGCGGCAACGGCGGGTTGGGGATTGTAGGTGATCTCCTCATCCTCTTCCTCGCCCGTTTCGGCGTTCAGCGTCTTCCACCCGGTAGCCACTTTCACCCTCGGCTGCGGCATGGGCGCAACGCCCCATCCGAGGGTGTTCCACTGGAAGACCTTGTGTTTGATACTGAGAATGTAGCTTATGATCTGGCCAACAGCGTTCAAGTTCACCGCGTTTTTGAACGCTAGGCGTTGGACCGTCTTCGAGTTTTCCAGTTCCGCTACCTTCCGGTCGTGCGCTTCTCCAACCGATAGCGCTACCGGTGAGGAGAATATCGCTTTTCCGGCCAGGCTCGACGCGGAAACTTTTAGAGCGGCCATGCAGCTGGTGAGCAGGGTAATTGAGGACAGCATGCCGGCCGTACAGTCAGGTGCTGTATTAGTGTGCGCCAGCTGCACGTCGGTGGCAGCCGCAGATGATGAGGACGATGATGCTCCACTAGTTGTGGTCTTTCGGCTTCGTCCGTCTACCGGATTTTTATACATTGTGGACTGCCCACGCCCACCTCCATGTTCGTCACCAAGCTCCTGCTTCATTCTTTCCACGAATCTTTGCAGCAACGCCTTATTTTCGTCTCCTTGCAGCTCCACCTTCAAAGTCGCCGTCAGTTCCAAAGGTTCGTGGTCACTCGCCAGCCAGGGCCGAAGGATGTGGGGAGCGGCAAGCCCGAGGACTTGCTTGTCGTCCGGGTGCATCATGGCTTGCAGAACGTTCTTCTCCTTGCCGGATTTTGTTTCCTGTAAAAGTTTCTTCACATACGGAAACTGATAGAGGTGAGTTGTCAGCGGAGTGAGCTGCTTTTTTGTAGCTATAGTACTTGCTGGAACTACATCTCCTCTGCTGTTGGTTCCGTAATAAAAGGAGAAGTCTTCCTCCGTGAGCTCGGGATTGATGGCAGCCATGTGCACATCCTGCAAGGATTCGTTCTCTGCCACATACATCGTGTCGCAGGTCGCGCCAAACGCAATGGTGCGGATGTTCGTGTCAAAGTCAAACTCCGTGGTCTCGTCTACATCTTCCGATGAGCCACCACTACCTGCTGCTCCAGCAGCGCCACCGCGTCTCGACGGTCGTGGTAGAAAGCTTGCGAGGCGGTCAGCTGTGGCAAGAAACGCTGCGCCGGGTGAGGAGCAGCAAGTAGTTGTAGATGGCGCTGCGCCAGCCACTCCACTACCTCCTGCTCCTCTCGCGATCATACCAGGTTGTACTTGCGATGCTTGTTCCCGCTCTTCGAGAGTGCGCATGTAGTCCGTGGTCGTGGTGAGAAGTTTTAGAGAATTAGCCGGGTACTTCGATTCATTCGTCCACTCATCCAGAAATTCCACGCGCCGCGCGGGCGTCCAAATATCCGTCATCATCGCGAAGGCAACGGAAGTGGGCGCCCACTTCAGCCGCGCCTGGTACTTCCTTTCCTCGTGGGCTTTGTTGTATCCTTTTGCGCCCGGTTTGGAGGCGACGATGTCTTTCGGCACCACGTTGATCAAGGCGCCGGACTTGGCCAAATCGCCGATCTCGTATGAATTGCAAAAGTATCCTATCGTACTCGTATAAATGCATCTTTTCAGCATGTGAAATAAAATTTGTAATACAGATTTGCATGGAGAACAAGATTTGTAATGCAAGACTTGCATTTATACGAGTACGATACTTTTGCACAGGATATCTCGTTCCTCCCAACAATTTCCTCGGCGATGCGGAATTTTAGCTTTTCTGAGGGTTTCGCGTGGAGATATTCGGGTTTCTTCTGGTAGTAACTCGGACTGTTTTGGTCAAAAAAGCTTCTCGCCCGCTGCACGGCGTCTTTTGTCGTCGCCAATACCAGCGTGTGGACGCGTCGCATCAGGGAATCCTGGCTCTCCGGGGTGAAGTCTGTGAACGTCATGGGCACGTCTGGCAATGGTACTCCTTCTGGGTCCAGTAAAGAACCCGACTCTCCAGCTGCACCATCCGCGCCACTACTGGTACCGCCCGGCAGTGGGCCGCTGACGTGCTGCTGGGAAGATGAGAACGGACCCGAGGAAGATCTATCCAGGGAGCCCGAATGACTCGCGAAGACCTGCGTCATGCGGCCACTCCGGGTTAGTTTCATGCGCCTTTGCCTCAGTTGCTGTTGATGCTCGGCAATGGTCGGCTGCGCGAGCGTGGTCCACGATGCGCCCATCGGCTCTTCATCTTCCGAGTTGTCTGCACCATCGTTAGTACCTCCGTCGGCTTTCATCGCGACGTCCTCGTCTCCTTCCTCACCCGACCTTGAAGGTTGCAGGCGAAGCCCAGACGTAGTCATCTGAGTATCTTGATGTCGCTCGTCATTTCCACCAACAATGGTTTCTTCATCCAGCGCCGCGGGTAGGGAACCTGTAGAGCGTGCAAGACTTTGTATCTTCCCGGACGAGGATCCTGCCGAGGCCGATCCCTCCTGCGAGCGCTTCTTAATCGGCAGCACAACCTCCGACGTGCTGGTTCCACCAGAGGACGCGAGTGATTGTGACAGTACCGGGGAATCAAGAAAAGGCTGCTGCTGGTCACGACGAAGCGATGAAGATTCAACGACCTGCTCCGCAACATTTGCAGTGGCGGCGGTAGTAAGGGCTTCTGAGGCAGTAGTACCAGAACGTGCGACGGCTTCGTCCACGACCTCATCTGCCACTAGTGAAGATTGAGATTCATTTGTCCTCTCCTCCGCTCCAAAGACAGCTGAGCGCCCGAGCACAGCAGTGGGGCGGATGAAAACGATCCCGATAGGGATCAGTCGAGACAGCCCCAGCACTCCACCAATGCCAATCGACAGGGAAAATAAGCGACGCGAAGCCATCTTCATGTTGACAAAGTGACTGGTTATTTTTCTACTGGCGGCGCGATCGTGGAGTACAATGATTGTACTACAATCCTTCGGTTGAGTCGTGAGAATAACGCTGACGTAAATAATTGTAAGTTGGCAGTCCGCAGCTTTGTTCCGTGCAAAGAAGTACAAAAATAAAACTGTGTGAATGGTCCCACGGACAGTCGTGATCTGTTTTCTCTTTTTCACGAATCAAGGGCATGACCTGAAAACACAGAGCAGAAGTACCTAGTGCTTGCGCGACGCTGCGACGATCGCGATGCGAAAATCTAGTTTGTCAGATCTTCGGGGGTTTTACCAAATGTATTTACATCAGTTGGCGCTACTTCTAATATGCTTAGATCGCACGTTCATGACAACGCACACACAAGAAGAACAATGAGGAACATCGGGATAGTATGAAGATCTGTAGGAACTTGATGCAGCGGCACCCGCGATGAAGATGCATAGCTTAAATTCCGTCCCAGTTCCAGCCTAAGGGCGAAAGTCCGTGTTGGTTCTTCTCGAGTCAAAAAGTCTGGACGAACGGAGAGGCAAAAATCCCTTACAAATCATACACTTTGTTTTTCATCATACAACAAAACAAACATCGTACAATGTTGACAAAATGTACGAAAATCATTCTTGTTTTTCATCATTCCCGTATATCCATCCTGTAGTTTCCAGATAGTAGTACGGATCCAGTTTCACTTTCTGGCCGCACCTTCTTTTTTTTTCTGGTGCTGCCTGCTTCTTCCACCTCCCAAGCCCGCCCGGCGAGGAACCAGGCGAACCTGAGAAGTTTAGTCCCTGTGGCTGGCCTCTTTTACTTTAATAACTTTTTTTACATTTCAATCAAAACGACTGGGAAAACACAAAGCTCAAAACTAACATACAACCCTATAGCCCGAGAAACCTTGTTCTACTTGAGTAGAGACCCGGCCTTCGTGAGCGCCTATTCATCGTCTTCCTTCTCTTCGTGTCGAAACTAATGTTTTGAAAAGAGAAAAAAAAGATAGGCTCATAAGTTAGCGACTTTCACTAGTTTACTCGAAGGAGTCCCTGGTCTACAACCTCCTCAAACGTTTCTTACGACTACTGGGTTGTTTTTGATCCTTCTTGCAGAAACAAAAAGATCAACTTCATGAATAATGATTTGTTGTTGTTCTTCTTAGTAAAACCTCTGTCAAAAAATATGACAATGCGGATGCGGAAAGATATTCCACGCATAAGTTGTCTCCAGATACACTATCACCGGTCTTCATGAGGACCGAGTAAATTGTACGGGTACAACTATGCCAATGCCGCGGAAGATGCAGTTACAGTTTCGATATATGCACTGCAAAAGTTAGCATTACAAATTTCTCAGCATGAGAAATAAAATTTGTAATGCGGATTTACCTCAAGAAATAAAAATTTGTAGTGCGGATTTGTAATGCAAGAATAGTACTCGCATTTATACGAGTACGATACTTGTTTCGCACAGGATACGATAGTGCATTTATACAATTTCATGGCTATTGACCCTTTGTTTCTCCATCCGCGTTCTTCCCGGTGCAGTTGCGTCCAATCTTCATTCTAGTCAAAATACACCAGCTTGTACTGGTGCGTGCAAATAATTAAGGATAGCGAGAAGCAGCTCCTTGTCACAACCGCCGTAAAAAATAATGTTAATAAGGGCAAAAAAAAACAAAACACTTCAACCAACTCGCACCACTCAACCAACTACCCGACCCCAACCAACTCCGCCACCCCAACCAACTCCGCGACCCCAACCAACTCCGCGACCCCAACCAACTCCGTGACCCCAACCAACTCCGTGACCTCAACCAACTCCGTGACCTCAACCAACTCCGCGACCTCAACCAACTCCGGGGCCGCGACCTCTGCCGAAAATCCTGCAACTTCGCATCCTGCAACTTCGCATCCTGCAACTTCGCATCCTGCAACTTCGCATCCTGC